CAGATTTGAGGATTTGGCTAAAGCTGTCAATGTGGCAGAGTCGGTTCATGCATATAGCGAGATCACTGGTGAGAAGATCAACTTCCAAGCATATTTAAACAGACCTTCTACAGGTGGTGGTGTCTGGTTCATTGAGCCTAATGCAAAGAAAATCGGTCTTATAGCCGGAAATAAATCATCACCTGAAGAAAGCGACTTCCAAAGTTGTCTTTCTGCATATTTTGGTCCTGAAGTTAGCCAAATGAGGGACGCAGTTGATAGGCGCTGCCAGAGTGTTTTGGAAGACCTCCTAAGCTTCTTTGAGTCAGAAAAGGCAGGTCCAAGGTTAAAGGATCTTGCTCCATACGTGCAGAATAAGTGTTATGACAGTGTCTCAACACTTCTTGCAGATGTAGATAAAGAACTCGAATTTCTATTTGCGGCCATGAAAAAAGAGAACAAGGATAGTGAAGCAATTCCACGTGCTATCATAATTGAGAAATCTCTCTTTATGGGACGCCTTTTGTTTGCTTTGCTAAACCACTCAAAACACGTTCCCTTGATTCTCGGTTCTCCGAGATTGTGGTGTAGAGAAACAATGACTGCAGTTTCTGATAAGTTGTCATCCTTGTTGAGGCAACCAAGATTTGGCTCGAATGCTGCAGTCACTGCTGACAGCCCTGGAAAGCAGGTGCATACTGAACTTAGAAGGCAGAGTTCGTTAGCTGTTTCTGCATTACTTGGAGCGGAAGAGAAGACAAGTCCAAAATTTAAAGAGCTTAATAAAACTATGCGAGATTTGTGCATAAAGGCTCATACATTGTGGATACAGTGGTTATCTGATGAGCTGTCAGCTATTCTCTTACGTGATCTTAGGAGGGATGATGGATTGTCTACTACAACTCCTTTAAGGGTACTAAAAACGATCCTTATCCTTTTTTTTTGCTTTATTGCTAGTTTATACTCCTGCATTTCCTTTTAGATGATTCTGCTTAGCTGTCTCTCCTGCATTGATATTAGAATTTTCTGGCTAAATGTACTTAGGTAGATACAGTTGTTCATTATCTATATTTTTGGTGAGAATATTTCCAGGAACTATTCTTTATCCTGTGATGCTTTGAAGTTTTAAAATGAGATATTTTAGACTTTCTCTAGCATTTTCGAATGTCATTTGCATGGTTCATTTTGTAGTGTCCGTACTCATCTTGGAAGAATAATGTAGGGTTGGGAAGAGACAGTAGTCAAGGAAGAGCAGGGCGAGAGTCAATCTGAGTTGAAGATATCACTTCCTTCCTTGCCTTCTCTCTATATGATCTCATTTCTCTGTCGGGCATCAGAAGAAATTCATCGAATCGGAGGCCACGTACTGGATAAGTCAATTTTGCAGAAATTTGCTTCAAGCCTGTTGGAGAAGGTGCGTTGTCTCAGTTTACTTCTTCTCCTAATGTATATTTCCTATCTAATGCAGAAATGTTTCCGTTTGATATATTCCCCTTATTCACACTACGTCCCTTTCATTAGTAAATATATCCAAGCTGGTGAATGCTTATAAGAATGATTTTGTTTCAATCTTCCATTGTACAATGCAGATCACCATTATTTATGAGGATTTCTTATCTGCCAGGGAGGCCAACGAACCCCAAATATCAGAGAAAGGAGTCTTACAAATTTTGCTGGATTTGAGATTTGCATCGGACACTCTTTCTGGGGGTGATACAAGCACCAATGTGGAGATGCCAAAGAGCACAATGAACAGATCAGCTTTCAGGCGAAAGCAGGGCCAACAGCAAACAAAGTCGGTCAATAGAGGTCGCATCGATGGAGTGATCTCCCAACTTACCCAAAAGTTGGATCCCATAGACTGGCTCACGTAAGGAACCTTATACTATGCTTAAGACATATCTTTGCTCTCTTTATTATCTCAAATCATTTCTCTGATTCTAGTATATTGAACTGTCTAAAAAAAAGGTACGAGCCTTATCTTTGGGAGAACGAGAAGCAGTCATACCTACGCCACGCTGTACTCTTTGGATTCTTTGTGCAACTAAACCGAATGTACACAGATACTGCGCAGAAACTACCAACTAATTCAGAGTCAAATATCATGCGATGCTCCACAGTTCCCCGCTTCAAATACCTTCCCATAAGGTAAGTTTTTCTTCTACCAGACCAGAAACTCTTTGTAAAAATTAGGGGAAAGTGGTTTCTCAAGTGTACGTGTCAATAATGCAGCGCTCCAGCTTTGTCTTCTAGAAGTACAAATAAGGTCTCTATTCCAGTGACATCGAATGAAGCTTCTTCAAGAAACTCGTGGAAGGGATTAACAAACGGCGAGCTTTCTCAAACGAGTGATTTGGATGATAACTCCAGTTTCGGCGTAGCTTCCCCGTTCCTAAAGTCTTTTATGCAGGTAAGATCTTCTTAGTCTTGGGTTAATCAATGGCGCAATATTTTTTGTGATCTGTTTGATATCTTAAGATCATTTGAAAAAATGTTTCAGGCTGGTAGTAAATTTGGGGAAAGCACAATGAAACTGGGATCAATACTAACTGATGGACAAGTGGGAATATTCAAGGATAGATCAGCAGCCGCTATGTCGACATTTGGTGATATATTACCAGCTCAAGCTACCGGTTTATTCTCTTCTTTCACAGCCACCAGGTCTGAGTGACGAGCTTCGGTCTTGAGAGTAAACCGTCATTTTTCGACCCGAGTTTCTGCATATATCAGTCGTGGAAGATAAACGCAGAAGCTGACTTGAGTTCATGAACCGAAAAAACTAGAGATGTCTTTGTTATACAAGTTTTACGTAAACGAAAAAAAAACAGGTTTTGTAATAGCGATTGATTTATTGTTTCTTATATGATACTTTTATAAGGAACATGTAATTAAAGTAAGAGATTTTTTTGGTACTACAAAATCCTCAGACCGAATACAATCAAACCTCACACATAGAGTGACAAAACTACTGTCCCTAAAACGTCGGCGGATTTAGGCATTATTACGTCTAGCCTTGTCAATGAGAGGCTTGAGCTTCTTCTTGTCAGCAAGAATCTTGAGGAAATTGAAGAGGAAAGGGACGTAGTTGTGTTTCCTTCTCATGTTCTCTTTCTTCCAGTTCTTAGACCTCTCTTCCTCCATTACAATCTTCTGCGAAACATTCTCGATCCCTGTATTGACTTCCGAAAGAGATCTATCCAGAGCCTCGTAACTGCTCTTCTCTGCGTATTTGTCAGCTTGCAAACCACCCACCTGCTGCAAAATTCTCTCTCGCTTTATCTGATACTCTTTTAACTCAGCTCGATACATCTCTTTCCTGTTCTTAACCACAGCTAACAGACTAAACCGAATCTCGTTCTGCAAACACTGGTCGATCCGCTCTTGCACCACAGGTTTGACCATTTTGAGCCACTCAGTTCCTTCTGGCTCGCCAAGACACTGTCCAAGACTAATGGGACCTTCTTTAAGACCGTCGAGCTCATATAAGACACCGTCCACAGGTAAGTAGCTGATGTAATGATACACATCATCATCTTCTTCTTCGTTTTTCTTAGCAGCAGCTAACTCTTCGTCTTCCATGGTGGTGAAAGATGAGTCGGGCCTGGCGAATGTGTTGTGAGCTGCACGTATCGCCTCGTTGTTGTTGATGGCTAAACCTTTGAGCTCAGGTGGGAAGTCTTTGGCGAACTCTTTCAGCTCTGATAGTTCAGAACCAATCTCGATACTCGAAGAGTTCATGAGAACCGATAACATCGCTTGTGTCGCACAAGCATTGTTGATTATCTGCAAGAAAAAACAAATGTTATGTTTTGCATATTACGATTATAATCTTTCACATAAGTCAGAAATGTAATGTGGACAGTGAGTGACCTGGCTGGCAAAGAAGAAATTCGGGTTTGGTTCCGTGATTACAACACGATTCTCTTTTTCCTCTGGACGCCACTTGTAAAGCAATATCAATCCATAAACAGGTCTGAAAGTGTTCATGGCAGAAAATATTAAGACAACTCCAGGAAAAGATTTGTCGAGAAAAGAAGGAACAAGGAACGATAATGAGTAACTAGTGAAGTACCTTATTTCATCCAGAGAATTCATGTCCAAGGAATACAATTCCTCAACTTGCACACCTTTCACTTGCATTTGTTGTATAATCTCAGTGAAAACACCTAACACATATAACACCAAAACGAAAAAGTATTATGAACAGCAAACAACAAGATAGCACAACACTGTGTCTTGCATATAAGGTTATGGCTGTGGAGAGAAAGAAATACAGACACTATCCACTTAGTATAGGAACCAACAATTGTTGATAAAATCAATTTTCAGAGATCAATCACTTTCAAATTCCAATCCTCACACATAAAGAATCACTATCCACTATTGCGATGTTTAGTTGCAAAGAAGACTCTTTTTCAACACTTTTTCGCTTCTAATTTTACTCCAAATCGAAAACATAAATCATATCTCTGTATAAAATCCAACACAATCCATGATCAATTTCTCAAGAGAAACAAAAATAACTACAAAAGCCATGAGTTACGCAAGACATAAATTTTACATTCAAAAGCCGAAAACACCATGGAACTAAAAAAAATGGGCAAAAACCCCAAATCGGAGGAGAAAAAAGTTACCAGGATCAGATTCTACAGGGAGCCAAGCCATGATTTAACGATGACTCGCAGTCGCCGCCACGCACAAAACAAACGAAGAAGGAATTGAATTTGGAGATTACGATTCCTCTCTCTCGAAATTCGCCTTCGAATTCATCGTCTTCCTCATTAACTGTTGACTCAATAGTCTATACACTGGTGTGGTCTTGTCTCTGTCCTTCATATAAACCGAATCGAAACGAACAAACCGAATCAAACCACAATTAAAAAAGTCGATCTGTTGACCCAAACAAAAAAAATTAACGAACCGAACCGGTAGCTAAATGTCAACTGACTCCAATGAGGATATATATCAAATCGGCCGATTCGAGATCGCCGGTGTGAAGAAGCAAAATCTAGGTTCCAACAATGACGGCGAGGGAAACAATCGCCGCCGCGATAGATCGGATTGATGAGAAGAAGGAAAAGCTGAAGAAGGCCTTCGACGATCTTCAGGCACACCGGTCTCTCCTTTCACCGTCTTTCTCTCTCTCCTGGTCTGAGATCGATTCCCACTTCTCCTCTCTCCAAACCTCCCTCTCTAACCGTTTCCGCCTCCTCCAATCGAATAGACTCGAAACCGGTGACGCAGGGACATCGTCGGAAGCGCCGGTGATTCGGCCGGAGCTAAAAGCGTTGTGTGAGATGATGGACGGAATTGGTTTAACAAAGTTTCTGGTTGAGAATTGGGACGATGACGCACCACCTAATCTGGAGCTCTGTGCGGCGATTCGATGCTCTCCGGATCCGGCGACAATGGTGCTTGACGCAATCCAAGGCTGGAACCACACACACACTCCGTCATCGGGAAAATCAGTCGACGTGAGGAGAGTTTTCGTTTTGTTAATGGAAGCTTTGATCGAGATCAACGCGAATATCACAGTTCACATGAGCGAGAGGGCCAAGAAAATGGCTAGCGATTGGAAGGAGAAGATAAACAAGAAGCCTTTCGAGGCGTTACTGTTTCTTCATCTGGTCGCAGCTTTCGAATTGGGATCCGGATTCAGCTCCGACGAGCTCTCCGATTACCTTTTCATGATCGCAAGGTACAAGCAATCAACTTCTGTGTGTAACAAGATCGGTTTGGATCGCGTGAGAATTGAGAATCTCATCAAGAAGCTCTTGGATTATGGCAAACCAACCGTGGCGGTGAGATTCATGTACGAGTGTGGTGTGGTGAGTGATGAATTCCAGCCAATCTCCGTTTTGAAATCTCACATTAAGGAATGTAGAGAGGCTTCTCATAAACTCTGCGCGGAAGATAACTTCTCTCTCAAGTCGCAGAACATAGCCACTGATAAAGAAGTGAGCGCGTTGAAAGCAGTGGTCAAAATCATCAAAGATCACAACCTTGAATCCGAGTTTAGCGAGGAGAGAGTCGAGGAGCGTGTTGAGGAGCTTGAGAAGCAAAAGGCGCAGAGGAAACGCAGCACCCAGCAAGAGCCACAGAAAAAAGGGAGAAAGAGGCCTCGGGATCGTAATGGTACAGGTCCTAGTCAGCAACAGCCATTTGCTAGAGGAGAAGCTACACAGCATGGGTTACAGTTAAACCCATTTGGTCTTGCTGGTGTTGTTCTCCCTTACATGAACCCTTTAGCTGGGCTCTATGGTTCAGCTGCAGCTCCTCAATCTGTTTACTATGGTCAGCAAAATGGAATTGTGTTGCCGCCTCAGTTTCATCCAGCTTATTATTCTCGACCGTAAGATAGCAATAAAGAATCGTCGTTGTAGCAATGTCCGAGGAAGGAATGCAGAAATGAACAGCTCTCTGTGGCGTTTCGCTGAGTAGAGAAGTGACACGCAAAGAGAAACAAGAAAGCTTGTGGAAGCAACAAGGCAGGAAAAGTCCTTGAAGCAAGCGTGTAATGTAAATTTAGAATATCTAATTTTATTTTCTACTTCATAAATAGTTAAAATACAGTTTACACAATGCAAACGAAGGAGAAGCAGAATCACTCTTTAGTCTTTACATAATCACTCAAAATTAGTGATCAAACCGTACAATAATCCCAAGCCGGTACGCAAAACAAAAACAAGTTTTAAGCAGTTTTACAAATGTTGGTGTTGTTGTTGATGTTGTCCAATTTGCCGCCTTTCATGGCTTCTACAATGACAACAAGCTCTTCCACAGGGACCTTGCGAACATCTTTTCTGACACCGACGTCGTAAACAAAACGACCAATGCAGTAATTACCATACCCCGTCAAAGCCAAAGCACCAACACCTGTAGCTACACATCCAATCGTCGAAGAAAGAACATTGCTTGCAGCAGAAACCATCGAAGCTTGAGACGCGGCCACAGAAGCTGCTTGACCACCGCTTTTCCCAACACCTAAAACCTTAAGCGTCAAAGAAACAACACCACCAGCTGCACAAAACGAATTCACTTGTCCGCTAGTCCCCAACTTTGTGATCGATAACACAAGCAAGCCAGTTTTGCAGTAGATAGCAAAATCTTCACAGTTGTTCTCTAAGAGATCGTAGTGACCAAACCCGTTTCTAGCCAAGAGGAACTTCGCACGGGAAATGACTTCTTCAGAAGGATCTGAAGGTGCTGTTGTGCATGTACCGCCTCTGTGTTTGGCGAGAAAGATAGCCTTTGAGACATTGTACTCGAAGAGATAGAGATTTCCTCCGGAGAGAAAACAGTCTAGACAAGAAGTGATCACACCATCGAGATTAGATTGATCTCCACAGTTAGAACAAGGATTGTCACCTCCATGATTTGGAACAGAACTAACAATGATATTGTCCAGAAAAGTTCCGGTTCCGATTTCTAGACCACCTCCACGAGTGAAATGGATGACTTTCCCATCGCCTATATATATTCCTGTGAATTGCAAACAGAGAAATCGCGTAAATTAATCATCCCCAGCTTTTTCTGATCTTCGATAAACCAGAAATAACTACGATCGATTGAGATTTAACTGAATGAAAAATGGCTGTAAATGTAACTTATTACATATCTAGAGAGAGGGAGAGAGAGAGAGAACCGTGATGGGAGTAGATGTAAGAACGCCATGAATAGATGTGATCTCCTGGCTTGAGATCATCTCTGGAGATCTTGTTGGAGAGTAATCCCATCTTCTTTTGTTCTAGCGAGAGAGAGAAGAGATGAGATGAAGAAGATCCGATTTCGCTGAATGAGTAGGGTTTTCTGATTTGCTCTCTTTCGTTTCTTCAATTTCTGGTCTTAAGAGAGCAGAACTCTTCCTTTAAAGTTTGGGAAAAAATCTTTAAGCCCTCGGTCGGATTAACTAATTTTTTGTAATATAACCTCCAAAGTAAGGAAATTACAAAACAGCCTTATTGAGATAAATGACAGCACTATATATTGCCTTATTTTATTTTTAATCAGTGTAAAAACCGTGTTTCCTTGTCGAGTAAGCAAATCAAACCCTATCATTTGACCACAATACCCTTCCGTTGAAGATATGGGAAACACATCACATGTTTTGTGTGGTTATCGCGTCACGAACGTTTTGCTCTGTTCTCTATTGCGTAATAGATTAAATGAATGTGATTCGTTATTTTTGGAAGAAACTTTAGAGGTTTCTTTATGTTTACGTTGCAGTCTCTCTTCTTTAAGTTTGCTTTTGCACATTAAAATACACTTTCTTGCTTCCTTTATTTGCGTTAAGCGTTTTCGTTTTACGGTTTCAAAAAAAGAACGAACCAAATGTAAAATCAAACACAAACACAATAATGAAGACCTCAATTAGTCTGTATTCACACACACACACCATATGATATGAATATGATTAGAGTTGCACAATCCAACAAAATGCAGAAGCAGAGTCTGTACTCGAGTCAAGCCATATAGAACTAATTAATAATGCATCAACAACAACACTCGCAGTCAGAATTAAAAATCAAAGTCAGCTTTGCCTTGGCACGAGGCTCTCGACGGACACTTTAACAGCATCATTTCTCATACCAATGTCGGAAAACAGACGAATAGCGTTGCTGGCCCAAGGACTAAGCATGCGTGCAACACACGCAGCCGCACTCACCGAGTTCGCTTGACCGCTCCTTCCCAACACATAGCTTTTGCCGACCACCAAACTCGTCTTACAATATATCGCGAAATCTTCACAGTTGTTCTCGAACACATGGTAATCACCGAACCCGTTTCTCGTCAATAGGGATTTCGCGCGGGAGATGACTTGCTCTGCAGGATCTGAGGCCGCTGTTGTGCAGACACCGCCACGGAGTTTCGTCATGAAGATTGCCGGAGAGACACCGTAGTCGAAGAGGTAGAGATCTCCATCGGCGAGAAAACAATCAAGGCAAGAAGAGACTATACCGCCGAGATTTGATTGCTCTCCACAATTAGGACAAGGGTTGTTGTTGTCACCTCCGTGATTCGGAACAGAACTAACGATGATCTTGTCCAGAAAAGTCCCTGTCCCAATTTCCAGACCACCACCACGAGTGAAATGGATGACTTTCCCATCTCCTATATAAATTCCTGTGAATTAAAAACAGAGAATTAAACCCAGAAAGAAAATAAAAGAAAAGCGCAATTTTGGGATCTTCGAAAAACCCAGAATTGACTAATTATATACAGAGAGGGGAGAGAGAGATGGAACCGTGATGGGCGTAGATATAAGCGTTGCGCCATGAATAGATGTGATCTCCTGGTTTCAGATCATCTCTTGAGATGTTGTTGGAGAGTAATCCAATCTTCTCGAGAAGAAGAGATTCCATTCAATTCTATGGGCTTTTCTGAGTTTTTTTCTCTCTTCCTAGTTTGTTTCTTCTGTGGGTTTTCTGATTCTAAAGTCAACTATGTATGTATAGGTCTTGTTTTTATTGGATAAAGCAAAGTCAAAGAAAAATTGAATTAAACTAAATAAAAGTAAAATATTCAGATTCTTTCCCATTTTGGACAAACTTATCAAACTTGTACAAACAAAGCAGGAGCAGAGAATCCCTCTTACAAAACAATTAGTCATCACAACATTCATAATCCCAAAGCCTGAATCCAAAACAAGTGCCTAACTACTTTTTAAACTTGTTCTTGTTGTTCTTACTGCCTTGTATCAAACCTGTAATTGAAGCGAGATCTTCCACAGGAACTTTGAAAGCATCGTCTCTCACACCAATGTCAGCATCCAAACGAGCACTGCAGTAGTTACCGTATCCAACCACAGCCATACAAGCAAAACCGGCAACTCCAACGGACATTGAAAGACTATATCTCGCAACAGAGCCCACAGAAGCACTCGCCCCAGCAAACGACCAAGAGAAAGCACTACGAGCCGCAGACGCCGAGTTCGCTTGACCGCTACATCCATGCTTTGACAACACAATCAGACCAGTCTTGCAGTAGATTGCGAAATCTTCGCAGTTGTTGTTCAAGAGATCGTAGACACCAAAACCTTTATGCAATAAGAGGAACTTCGCACGGAAGACGACTTCACCAGGAGGATCTGAAGTTGCTGTTGTGCAGGTACCTCCTCGAGGATTGGCCATAAGGAGAGCCTTAGAGACACCGTACTCGTAGAGATAGAGGTTTCCTCCGGCGAGAAAGCAGTCAAGGCAAGAAGAGATTACGCCGTCGAGTTTGGACTGGTCTCCGCAGTTAGGACAGGGATTGTTGCCACATCCGTGATTCGGAACAGAGCTAACGATGATCTTGTCCAGGACAGTTCCCGTTCCGGATTCGAGACCACCTCTACAAGTGAAATGTATGACTTTTCCATCACCTACATAGATTCCTGCGGATTTGCATGCAGAGGAAACAGCGTTATTCATCATCCTCCAAATTTGGGATCTTTCGGAGAAATTTCAGTTACAGGAGCACAAAATCTCGAATTAGGCAAGGAAAGAAACCCAAAATTCCAGAAACAAGTAAGATCGAGTTAGCATTAACAGCATGAGAACGGCTGTGAGTGTAATGTATCTTCTACATTGTTGATAGATAGATAGAGAGAGAGAGAGAGAAAGAAAGAGAATGGAACCGTGGTGGGAGTAGAGATAAGCGTTACGCCATGAATAGATGTGATCTCCTGGCTTGAGTTCATCTCTGGAGATCTTGTTCGAGAGTAATCCCATCTTCTCGAGAAACAGAAATGGTAAAAGCGCCGCGAGACCTGATCTCTGAACAAGTGTGAGGTTTTCACTTTTCTCACTCTCTTTCCGGTTTTCCTCAAACCCTGGTTTATGCATTTCAATTCTAGGATCCGGTTTAAGAGGGTTCGATTGGGTAGACAAGATTCTGGTTCAATTTTGTTTTGACTTTAGACAAAGATTGAGAAACGGATAATAGTAGTACATCATGCGGCTCAGAACTTAAAAAAAAATCATCAAGATAAAGACTGAAAAAGATTCCTTACTTTACTTGGACCGACCCAGTGGTCCACTTTAAGGCAAAAACCAAAGATTGTCTGGATTTATTTTGTCTTAGTTAAGGCAAAAACCAAATATTGTGAAATGAAAGACGGATTCGTTGCTTTGATGAACATTTTGCTCCGAACATTTGTTTACAATGTTATTTCAAAAGATGCTCATGCTCATGCCGCCATTGCAAAATTCGTTCCAGCTTCTTACAAATTTCACATCCGACTCAATCTCGTGGAACCCATCTTCTTGGCAATATCCCTAAGCACGAACTTCATAACCTTCCCCGTCGAAGTCTTTGGCAACTCACCCCGAAACGTCACCGTTCTAGGCACCATATACCTTGGCATCTTCTTCCGACAATACTCTATCATCTCCTCCTCCGTCGGTTTCCTACTCAACCCATCTTTCAGACTCACAAACGCACACGGCGTCTCTCCCCAAAACTCGTCGGGTCTCGCCACCACCGCCACTTCACTCACCGCCGGATTCGTGTACAGAACCGCTTCAACCTCCACGCTGCTCACGTTCTCTCCTCCCGTTATGATGATATCTTTCGATCTATCCTTAATCTCCAAATATCCATCGGAGTGAATCACTCCAACATCTCCCGTGAAAAACCATCCATTCTTCAGAGCCTTCTCTGTTCCGATCGGATCCTTCAAGTAACCGAGCATGATCGAGCTCCCTCTCATCACAATTTCCCCTACGCTTTCTCCGTTCCTCTCAACGCTTCGACCCGATCCAGGATCCACCACGTCGATCTCGGTAAACCCGAGGGTTCTCACTCCTTGCCTCGCCTTCAACCTCGCTCGATCGCTAGCCGGTAACCGGTTCCACTGCGGCTTCCACGCGCACGAGACGTTTAAACCGCCGGTTTCCGTCAATCCGTATCCGTGACTGATGTTGAATCCGATCGATTCGGCGCGGAGGAGTACGGCGGCTGGCGGCGGAGCACCCGCGGTTAAAATGTTTACCGGATGGGTAAGAGGCTGAGATTCCTGAGTCGCCGACAGCATGTTGAGCACCACCGGAGCTCCGCACATGTGTGTAACGCCGTGATCACGGATCAAACGGTAGATAAGCGGCGCGTCGAACTTACGCAAACAGACGTTTGTTCCACCGACGGCGGCGATTCCCCACGGATAGCTCCAGCCGTTGGCGTGGAATATCGGTAGGGTCCATAAGTAAACCGGATTTTTCGGTACGGTCCAATCGATTAGAGAATCGATTGACATTACGAAAATCCCCCTGTGGCAGTGTACCACTCCTTTAGGAGCCGAAGTCGTACCGGAAGTGTAATTGAGCACAACCGGGTCCCACTCGCTTTCGGGTCGGATCCAGTTAAAACCCGGATCGCCTCTCTCGACTAAATCATCGTAGGAGTAAGTGAATTTCGCGCGGTCGGCCACGTCAGCACCTCCTTCCTCTTCTTTATCAGCGATGAAGACGAGAACCGGGGGATCGGTCATCATCGCGATAGCCTCGACGGCTAGATCGGAAGAGAAGACGTCGACAAAGAGAAGCTTGGATCCGCAGTGGCGGAGAAGAACAGAGACGGTGCGCGCGTCGAGGCGCGTGTTGATGTTGTTGAGGATTGCACCGGACATTGGAACGGCGAACTGGAGCTCGTACATCGCCGGAGTATTGGGAGAGAGGACGGAGACGACGTCTGACCTTCCGATTCCAATGGAAGACAGAGAAGACGCCACGCGGAGGCAACGGAGGTTTGTCTCCCGCCACGTGTAAACAGTGTTTCTGCCGTAAACGATGGAGGTACAGTCACCGTATACGGTGGCGGCTCTCTCCAAGAATCCTAACGGCGTCAACGGCGGCGAGTTTGCGGCGCATGGTTTCATTTCTTCCATCCCTTATCGCTCTGTTTTCGAGTGGTCAACTGTTTATTTTTATTTTCTTATGATATCTTCTCCTTTGAAAATAAAATAGAGTTTCGTGATTATCTAGGAGACCTTGGTAGCGACAATGGAGATAAAGGTAAGAGGCAATCGTCATCTTATAAATGTTTGTATAATATCATGCAAACAGAAATTAATAAATGATTTGACTGACTACTCAGCAACGACTGTTTGATAAAATCTACTTAAGCCTATTTAAGCATTATTTTGTGTGAAAAGGAAACTCATTCTATCAGTCTTGGTATCGCGACACGATTAGAAAGAGATAACCATGCGTCATGCGATTGCATTCCAAATACGTTGTTGACCATTTACAAATACACATGTTGTGTAGGTTATTGACAATGTAATTGAGTGACAAGTACACTGTGTAGCTATTAATTGACAAGATGTGGACGTGCCGGAGTGGTTATCGGGCATGACTAGAAATCATGTGGGCTTTGCCCGCGCAGGTTCGAATCCTGCCGTTCACGCTTTTTTGTTGTTGTTGTTTGATATATAAAAGTTTTGAATGTTTGACACGTGTGGTGGTGAACAAAGACGTCTTTCTCTTCATCAAGTTTGTTGTTAACCTGAATTCTGATTACTTAATGGTCCCACGAAAACCATGCTTGAAATGAAAAGCACGACTCCTCTTGAAAAAGCCAACTTTTAGAAGCGACGCGAAGGGATGGCCCGCATTTGGCATGTGCGAATAATTCTCTACACAATAGTAATAACTAACGACGATTTTGCAAAGATCTCTTGTGAAATTTTGGCCCTACTAATTTTTATCTACATTAACAGCAAAATTTGGAGTTGGATTACCTAGAGCTTTATGAAGCATCTTACACAAGAAATTTTGGAACTCAATTTTCTGAAGTTTATGATAAACCCCTTGTTTTCAGTTGCAGTATACAAACTCATTTTGATATAAATCATAATGTAACGTGCTTAGATGGATTCATCATTCACTGATTAATCTGCTAAAATCTCATTTCTACTACTCTTCCTTTGGCTCAGTACATGTCAAATCATATAAAAAAATCCACTTGTGAATTGATCTTCGGGATCACATCACAAGAAACAAAACGAGTTGTGTATCATCATCAACATCCTTTCTTTTACAACGTAAATCCAAGAAAAGCGAGTTGAAACAGAAAACAACATGTTTTGATAAAAAAAGAAAAAAAAATCCACAAAGCATATATGTATATATGTCTCAACCACTAAACTTGAACAAACCAAAAAAAAGTAATCATGCCTCCTAAGCTTGTCTATTGCAGTCATTGAAGATTATACTGTTTGATGCTAATGATATGGTATAACACAAAAAGAAAAAAAACTACAACCCAAACTCTTTACAAGACACCATACCAGAGACGCCACCATCAGCGGAATATGCAATTCCTTCTAAGCCTCGAAATCAAAAACCTAAGATGATACTGTCCAGCGATTCCTTGGCGGTCCAAAGATGGATTGGATATCTCCAGATTGCTTCTGCATTGAAAAGCGTAAAGGAAACAAAGTAAGAACATTGATTCCAAAACCTCAGCAACAAAACCTCATTTCTAAATATTCTTAGAATCAAGTAGTTACATCAAAAGATTCAATGAGGTTGTTTTGGTAAAATATTCAAAGATTCCATAGAAGCACATAGATTCCCAAGACAAAATTGGGGGAAAATCTAAAACCCTAGCTAATTTGACACTGACCATTTCGAATTGCAACAAACGTACCTTCAAATCACGGGATCTAGAGAGATCAACCGTCTTAGGTTTAGATCCCGCGGCGGTACAATCTCGAGGCGACTCGAAGAGCGAGAGAGAAAGCTGCTTATCAGCGACGCCGACATCGAAGTGGATTAACCCCGAGCTCTCTGGATCCACGTGGATTCCCTTGACAGCGAACCACAAGAAGAGCTCCTTCTGAGTCACACCGGATAAATTCCCGATCCGGCCATCGGAGAGGATCCCGGAGATGTTGTAGTCGAAGTGGAACTGGTTCTCGAATTTGGCGTCGCAGGGAACCGGGAGAGTGACGGTGAATTGCCCGGTTTTGACGTCGATTGAGAAATCGGTGACTCCTTTAGGAACTATGCCGGCGGGAAGACCGCTCTCCCGGAGGTAATCGTAAAACGACGGATCCGGTACCGAGGAAAGCTCAACGAAGAGAATCGAGGAGAAGAGAAGGATGGTGAGGAAGAAGAGATCTCGACTAGTACCCATTGAGTAAAATAAAAAAGAAAGAAACTGACAGTTTCAGAGGAGAAAGATTGGAGGAAGAAGTAGAAAGCGGTTGAAGTTTCTTCTTCTCCGTCAACAAATCCGTTTCTTTTCGGAGATTAATTTATTTTCATTGGACTGAGAGACATTTATGTTATCTCTCAGCTTCATTAATTATCAGAAATTTAATAATTTCTTTGCGGATTAACAAGGATGGGCCATTACGTTGGGCTTATTATTTGAAATACAGAAAATTTGCAATAAGGAAACAGAACCAAGAATTCGTGTATAAAATATGAGAAATGAAAAATAAATAGAACAGAGTTCATATTTTCTTCAGCAATGGAAACTAAAAAAAAACTCATTCTTTTCCTCACCATACTAAAATCCTAACAGAATTTAACAGTAACAACGAAAGGGAAACATTAAATTGTTTTACCAAAAGGACTGAGATTGAATTTAGTAGCTTCTTTTCTCCATTTCGCATGGTGCCGATTCTACGGTTGAACCACAAACAGGGGCTGTAAAACCGCAAAAACATGGATATCAGTAGAGATTTAAAACTAAACAGATTCAATAAAACTTTTCAACTGAGAGTCTGAGATGATGAAAGCGTAAAAACTAGTTCTTGAAAAAAGAGAAATAGGGACAGTGTTTTCAATAAGTAAAGACAGAGAAATGAGTAAACTTACAGTGTCGAGGCTCACAGGCTTGCCATCTTCTGCGACAATATCGACAACGGTTCCTGTTTGGTCAGACTGAGGAGAAGAAGTTCAAGTTTCAGAGTTAGATCGACATGGAAAAATTCTCAGTTTTTCAAACTCAAAGCTGAATAGTAGGTAAGAGGTAGGATTTTGAAATGAAAAAAGATGGTAATTCATGTTCAGAAGACTTAGAAACTTACCTCTATTTCATTCATTAACTTCATGGCTTCAACAATGCATAGAACTTGTCCCTTCTGCACTTTATCCCCAACCTAAAGCAGCAAGAGAAACATTAAGTACGAATCTAGGCAATGAAATGCAGTACACATGAATTTTCAAAAAGTTCCAAAGTTGCTAGTTATGACAAACACACTCGTTGAATTATCCTTTTAGATTTTATGTTTTCATTATCCTATAACAGATACCTGGGGAGTCCTTAACCAAGTAAAAAGCGTATGTCCTAACTTCAGAAAATATAACTTTTTTGCTGTTTTGCAAATAGGGTCCAAGCTTTATACAAATGCACAGGTACTTGGATTAAAAAAGATCCTAACCTTGATAAAGGGTGGTTCACCAGGTCCTGGACTACGGTAGAATGTGCCTGCCATGGGGCTCTTAACAGTAGGAAGCGATGATTTGGCTGGAGCAGGTGGGGATGGTGGAGGCAGGGAGGCTGGAGCAGAAGGGGCTGGTGAGGGAGCAGGTGCAGAGGGAGGAGCCATTTGTTGGACATAAGATGGTTGGTTTGGTTGCTGCATCATAACATATGGTGTTGGGGCTTGTGGTTGAGGTAAAGCTTCCTTTTTCCGAATGACAAGCTCACAGTCGAGTTGCTTCAACTGCAACTCGACGATGTCTCTTGAATCCACAAGCCTGCATGATGGAGGTGATGGTTAAAAATTATCCTGCTTTTACATGTTTAAGTAATAGAACACATCAAACTGTACTTACTTGACAAGAGTTGTTACTTGGGTAAGGAACTCAGAGATAGACTCTTCTGTAGCCATATCAGGTGAAGAAGAAGAAGAAGAAGAGTCTTCTTTCAATGAGTTTTTATCCTTTCCTTCAGCTGATGGCCCATCGATTTTTGCAGGAGCTGAAGCATTTGATGATGCACCACTACCAACCTTCAAAGGCAGGAGGAGAGTCCAGAAATGAACAAATTTTGGGAGAAACACGTTTTCAAAGAGATGAGTAATTAAGGAGCTTACCTTGTTGGATTGGGCTTTCACCACAGGGTAGCTACTGCGACTAGGCTGCAGTTTCATATGACAAAAAGTTAAACAAACGAATACCAAACATATATGTATACACAAATGAATGTCTATGTATTTCTTTACTACACTAGCAAGAGATTCAGACTTTGGACCAATACAGTTCTCTTGTAATCTGGCCTTATAGATCAACTGCTCTGATTCACTAGAGAAAGATCAAATCAGATCAATTGCCTGAGAATTAACTACAAGCTAGCATAAAACTATAGAATCAAGCAGCGTAACAACTGACTGATAAATATATAAAAACTGCAATTAATTTTGGAGAATAAACGACAAAATTTAAGTGAAAGCAGCTCAAATCCTTATGATTTGTACCGAATTTAAAAGAAGAATGCCTAATGGAAAAAATTCCCAAATCACAAGTTCTTTGGAAATAGCATTTCATTAGTCTTCTCGGAATATAATTCCTTGGATTATGAATAACGCCGAATCGGAAAAAAAATGCACACAGCAATCTATCGGATCAAATTCGACGAAGATAAGGCAAAAGCTTGGGCAAACAGAAATGATCCAAAATCAGAAAAAACTACAAACCACATTGCAGAAATCGGGAAGGGATTGGAAGGTCGAGTACCTTGGAGAGAAAACGAAGCTTAGGCTTGGCGGAGAGACGGAAAGAAACTCGGCGAGGGAGACGAGAGCGGTTTGGAAGGGGGAAGTGTGCGGAGGTTTGGGTGACTGCATAGACGGAAGCAGCTGGAGACGTGAGTGAGAACGAAGAAGACGCCATTCTTCTTCCTCTTTCTTCTTCCTTGTTGGTGCAGATCGGGTTTAGGTCTCTCGATGAAACCAAAGAACACAACACAGTTCACTCCAGAAAGAGAGAGATGTGAGACTCTCGGATCGCGTCTCTCTCCATTTTAACTCGCTTGCCGATTTCGCCACGTGTCATTCTGTGATCTCTAGTTCGTATTGTACCCCATCCTTGTTTATTTCACTTCAGAAATGTGTTTTTACTTTTAGTGAAATGAAATGAAATGGTTAAAAAAAAATTGAACAAATGGAACTTTCCTCTCCAATTTGCAGTGTGATATTCTTGTTTTCGGAAAATTATATATTTTTTTAAGTGGAAAGCACATTTATAAAAGGATAAAATGTTGTCAGTATCTCCAACTTGTATAAAAATATGAAAAAAGTCCAAATACATTAGCCTAAATATACATATGCCAAATATATCAAAAGAATAAAAAATATTAGGGAAGGTTGGATTTGGTGAACAACTAAAATGAAGTTATGACTTGTGAACAATCTAGTTGGAACATTCATTGAAAACAAAGCACATACATCATACATGTAAGCCAAACTGTGGACATGATGCATCTTTTTTCAACAATTGGGGGACCCCCAAAATTAAAATCCATCTTAATCTCTAAATTTAAAGTCTTTAAGCTTGTGCAATGATAATATATCGTTGATTTCTCAAATTGAGCCAAACTACTTGGTAATGAACTTATTATGATGCATAAGCATTTACCGCATCATTACATACCTTTCCATCATTTATGCATACATTACATACATTGTTAAATTAAAACCGATTCCGGTTAAGGGAACAGCAGATAGTTACATACAGTACACAGAACCAAACCAATTACACGACGATTGAGAGAGAGACTCAGGCTGACCTTGCTTCTTCAATGGCAGCCAGTAAGTCGTCAAATTTTGCTCCGACTACTTCCTTTACCACCTTGTTGTCTTTCAATATCTTAAAGGTCGGAACCGATCTAATTCCTAGCTCCTGCGCCAGTGGCTGCAAGCAAGAGTTTTATGATTTTTTTTCTCAGATGTTTTCGTGTCAAGAGACATGTGAGATAATAGTAAGGACATGTTTAGGACAAAAAGAAGAACAAACCTTGTTTATTTCGTTGCAGTCAAGCTTAAGAAACACCATGTCCTGGTACTTCTCCGATAGCTCTTTGTATTTGGGAGCCATTACTTTGCAAGGACCACACCTGCATAGAGCCCGATGACGATTGAGCAAAAAGGCATTGATTTCTCTCAACACCAAAACAAAGCATTTACTCGGAAACTTATCTCAAACATTCATGATGATGTGAAGTGCAACAACATTTAGGCTTAGTTATTTACTCATATCCTTTAAAAATCCAACAGCCCAGCATTAAATCAATGTGCAGAGAAGCCTGATAATGTAGGCTCAAAAGATTATGGGTGATACTTACAATGCTGCAACTTTTCAGTAGAACTGAAAGTACCAAAATCAGATAGACATAAACAAGTTAGCCCTATACTGTGGAAGTTACAGTGTGAGAAGAAGCAAATTGAGCTTCATAGACAAGACTAGCTAAAGATGAAGGACAGATTTTTATAGTTTTCATGATGGCCAAAAGAAGCAAGAGAGATGTTTAGTACAGGACATGATTATGTCGTAGGAAGAATTGGGAACTAAAGGCAATGTGAGGATTAGCTAAGCAAAGTTTTTTCAGGTAAACTAAAGAGCCAAAGTGTCCTATCTCAAGTGAAAAAAACCCCCAAAGCAGTAAACATCCTTCAAATACTAACATCCAATGATTGATTCAAAACCTGTCAACAATCAAAGTGTGAGACATCTAAAGGTTTCACGCTCTAAATGAAAGATTCCAGCAAACTGCAAATTCCAGAACATTTGACGGAATTCAAAGAGTGTGTGAAAAAGGAGTTTCCAAAAACGAGAATGTAATCAAGGAATGCGAGATTCGCACCAACATGAACACACGATCGAACGTACCACTGTGTATACATGTCGAGGACAACAATCATATCACCGGCGGCTTTAACAATTGGCCAGAACGTGTCCTTGTCAGCCTCCGTCACCTGGCCGACACTGACATTCACTGTTTCCAAGCTACACCTCACCACACAGGAACCGCGCCTCTTTCCCGAATCTAAAACAACACCACCTGAACAGAATCCACTTCTCGTCGCGACCCCGGAATTCGGGATCCGGCAGTGCTGCTTTACAGGACCGAGCCCTCCGGCGACGGTAACCAAAGTCGGAGAGTAACAGAAAGCCGTCGGTGCTGGAGCGATTCGAAGAGAGAGGGGCATCGTGTAGAAGCTCGAGTCCAAAACACACACCGAGATTAATCAATTTGAAGAATGTGATCTCAGTGTCTGAATGTGATCTTCAAAGGAACCTGATTGATACTTTGACTCTTTTGTTTTATTCTCTCAAGTGACTGAAAGAAGAAAAATGACATTTGGGGGTATTTACGTATTTTCTGGGCTTAGTGTTCGATGGACGCGAGGTGCAGAATCGTCGTTGGATACTTGGAATATATTGTTTCAGCTCAGTAAATGACGGTTTTATCCCCCACAATGTAAGGCCAAGAATTGACAGTAACAGTACACTCTCCAAAGTACGGACCAGTGATGGTGCGCGCGCGCAATACTCAAACCGGTTCTCCGGTTATTGAATATTCACGGGTTCAAATTTAAAATCATTGCCTTCGTCGTCGTCCTCCTCCCAACGAAATAAATATACCTCTCCGTCGATTCGGATTTCGCCGCTCAAAAACGGAAACGATGTTCTTTCCCCGCGTGAACGCCACTCGCTTCCAGCCACTCGTTGCTCCTCGCCTCTTCTCCGCCGCCGCTCCTCTCCTGAAATACTGCACGGAGAAGCCGCCGATCAAACCATGGCCGGAGAGGCTATTCCCAAAGCGGTTGGTCTCCATGATCACCCAACAGCAGAACATCGATCTCGCTCTCCAGATATTCATATACGCCGGTAAATCGCATCCCGGATTTACTCATAACTACGACACTTACCACTCCATTCTCTTCAAACTCTCCCGCGCGCGTGCTTTCGATCCCGTGGAGTCCCTCTTGGCCGATCTCCGGAAATCCTACCCGCCGATCAAATGCGGCGAGAATCTCTTCATCGACTTGCTTAGAAACTACGGGCTCGCAGGTCGGTTCGAAACTTCTATTCGGATCTTCCTTCGGATCCCTGATTTCGGCGTGAAACGCTCCGTTCGATCGCTAAACACACTCTTAAACGTTCTGATCCAGAACAGGAAATTCGATTTGGTCCACGCCATGTTTAAGAACAGCAAGGAATCTTTCGGAATCACTCCCAACATCTTCACCTGCAATCTCCTCGTCAAAGCTCTCTGCAAGAAAAACGATATAGAAATTGCATTCAAAGTGCTCGACGAAATTCCGGCGATGGGTTTGGTGCCGAATTTGGTCACTTACACAACGATTCTAGGCGGCTACGTTGCCAGAGGCGATATGGAAGCGGCGAAGAAGGTTCTGGGAAAGATGTTGGATCGTGGCTGGGATCCAGATGTGATCACTTACACTGTTCTCATGGATGGTTACTGCAAGTTGGGGAGATTCTCTGAGGCGGCTGAGGTGATGGATGATATGGAAAGGAACGAGATTGAGCCTAATGAAGTAACGTATGGAGTTATGATCGGAGCTTTATGCAAGGAGAAGAGATCTGGGGAGGCACGTAACATGTTCGATGAAATGCTTGAGAGAAGTTTCATGCCGGATTCTTCACTCTGTTGTAAAGTTATCGACGCGTTGTGTGAAGACCACAAGGTGGATGAAGCTTGTACGCTGTGGAGGAAAATGTTGAAGAACAACTGTATGCCTGATAATGCTCTTCTCAGCACTCTCATCCACTGGCTTTGCAAAGAAGGGAGAGTTTCAGAGGCGAGGAAGTTGTTTGATGAGTTTGAGAAAGGATCGATCCCGAGTCTCATGACGTACAACACGTTGATCTCTGGGATGTGCGAGAAGGGAGCGTTGACTGAGGCGGGTCGGTTATGGGACGACATGGTTGAGAGGAAATGCAAGCCGAATGCTTTCACGTATAACGTTTTGATCGAGGGATTGTCCAAGAACGGGAATGTTAAAGAAGGAGTCAGGGTTCTTGAAGAGATGCTGGAGAATGGTTGCTTTCCTAATAAGACGACGTTCTTGATATTGTTTGAAGGGTTGCAGAAGTTAGGGAAAGAAGAGGATGCGATTAAGATTGTTTCAATGGCTGTTATGAGCGGGAAAGTTGATAGAGAATCTTGGGAGCTTTTCTTGAAGAAATTTGCTGGTGAAGTAGATACAGGGGTTCTTGTTCTTAAAGAGCTCTTGCGTGGAAGTTCTGTCTCTTGAAGAACAAAGACTTTGATCCATATTCAATGCTCAAAAAGCTACCGACTCTTGGTTTTGGTTTTAGTGTGATACATATGTGCTCGAGAAATATAGATGAATTGCTTTGCAAATTATGATACAATGAAGAATATTATAAGTAGGGCCCAAGGCTCTTGTGGCAGATGAAGTTCGAAGGGAAGAAACACAGCGACACAAGCTGCTTATGAATATAGTTCAAGCTATGTGGCTTCTTTCTTGAAAATCAACTCAGATTAATGCAAGAAGCATACATTGATGGGGAAGATGGTGACTTGCAAAGAAAAAGTGATCTCCAAATTCTGCAGAAGTCTTTAGGATTTGGTTCTGTTTTTAACCTCTTACTAAAGGGATAACTTGACCAAATTATGGTATAGCTTAAGTTTCTTATTTTTGTTTGTCGGTGTTAGCCTAAGGTTAGGGATTGCAACTTCCACAAGCTTGATTGCGTTTTACTATAATGTAGTATTTATCGATAATTTATGATATGAATTCGATTGTAAAGTAGGATGCTATTTCACTACGTATACTAAAAAAGTGAACAAGCATAGTACAATATAAAGCTAGTAGACGAGGACTGATTTTTGTTGTTGTAAGAAGAAAAAGGCGCCAAATGGTAAATCTAAGATCAAAGTAAATGACAATCTGAATAAATGGAACTAAGATCAAAGTAAGTGACAATCTGAATATTGAACAAAATTCACTGATAATGATTAGAGTTTAAACACAGTTGTGTCTTACACTCTTACTACATTGTTAAAATCTTAATGATATAGATAAGTCAATAATATATCTCAATATTATGTATATGTCAACATAGTTTTATAATCTTATTAACACAAAAATTCACTAATTAACTAATTTCTTAAATACTATTTTTAGTATCCATAGGAAAAGCTGTTGTCTTTTAAATATTTTTAGATTCTTATAAAATACATATATATAATCTTCTTCTTCTTTTTTCTTAAAGTGGTCTTTTAAATATATATATATATATATATATTTTTTTATTTTTTTTTAACCGTGGGATCCCAAAGGTTTTCTAGGCCCAAAGACTAATCCCACGAGGCTCACGGCAATCCGCGTATTCTTACCATTTAAGGCAGTCCGGGTGGCCAAGAGGACTCGAACCCAAGTGGCGGAAGTCACAGCTGTGACCCCTTTACCACGGGGCCACGAGGCCTTGGTTATATTTTTTTTATATTTTTAGATTCTTATAAAGTATAATCTACATATATAGGATAATATCTTTTTCTTCTTCTTTTTTAAAAGTGTCACACCATCAATTTATTCTCTAGTATTTTGACAACATCTAACTCAATTATAAATTTTATAATCTAAAATCACTAGATATAAATTTATTAACTTAAAGAGTTTATGATGTAAAATAAAACTTAACTTATGTTCATTACCTATACATGTATATATATATATATATATATAATTTTAGTTAAATAATTAATTTAAAATGTTTATTTTTTAAAACATTTCAACAAACAATAATACAAAACACTGCGCAAAATGCGAGTTCGTTTGTAAGTAAATTAACAAATAACAAATTTTCGCAAATCGTTAAATTTCATTTTTGTTTAACTATATCGATAAACAACAATACAAAATTTCGCGCGAAATAAACAATTTTTTTTTTAACTAAACCAGTAATTAGTAACCAACAATATAAAATCACCAGTAGTTAGTAAACAACAATATAAAGATGAGAGAGATCTCCACCAGTAATTTAAAACAGAAAAGTAGAGACCAGAAAAAAACAGAAACAGAGACGCATCAAAATGTCTGCTTCACTATATAGTTTCAATTCGTTTCTTCTCTCTTCTTCTTCTTCCTCCTCCTCTTCACGATTTGCCCCTCTCCGCCTTTCCCGGATCCGATTTCCGGCGACCGCGTCTCCGCCGAGGATTCACCTTTCTTCTCGCGCTTTCTCAGCTGTCACCATGGCCGACCTCAGCGACGCCGGAATGGATGCTGTTCAGAGACGACTCATGTTCGAGGACGAGTGAGAAATTCTATTCCTTTTCTTCAATTTTGATTTGGGTTTGGTTTATATGTTGATCGTTCGAGAGGAAAACCCCAGAACTACAAGCAGCTACACGCAAAACTCTGTCTAGAAATGAGACGCAAATTATGTTCGACGAATCTAATTATTCCAAAATCCTGGATAAAACTTAAGCTGAGACTCTATGTTTTTTCTCATTTCATTAGAAGATTTAGTGAAATGTGTTTGCTTTGGTGATTTAAGCGAGCTTGATATCAAAATCTGATCCAATCTCTCCTTCATAGATGTAAAAGCGGCTTGATCATTTATTCAATTCAATCTCTTTTTGGTCTGCAGATGCATTCTCGTTGATGAAAATGATCGTGTGGTGGGCCATGACACTAAATATAACTGTAAGTGAATCAGATTCTCAATTTTAATCTCTTTGGGAAGTAGTATTGATGCCAACGTTAGCTCCTTTTGGATCCATTTGCTTGTTTTTTTCCTAGAAACACATGTCCTTGTCGCCGATGTGTTTTGGATAATGTGGTCTGAATTTGGATCTCTTAAAAGTGTTTAATTTAGTTGATCCAGGATAATACTGACTCCTTATAAAATCTGCAGGCCATCTGATGGAAAAGATTGAAGCTGAGAATTTGCTTCACAGGGCTTTCAGTGTGTTCTTATTCAACTCCAAATTTGAGTTGCTTCTCCAGGTACTTTCTTATGATTACCTTGACGTGAATATGGCTTTAGTTTTACTGTGCTCTCTGTAACACTTAACTATTGGTTGGTTGGATTTTGATCTTCTTGCTTCATAGTTTTGTGACCATCCTACTGAAACTTTCTTTTCTTTTATTTTTCTTCTCTTCTTGACAGCAAAGGTCAAAAACAAAGGTTACTTTTCCTCTAGTGTGGACAAACACTTGTTGCAGCCATCCTCTTTACCGTGAATCTGAGCTCATTGAAGAGAATGTGCTTGGTATCTTCCTAAGAAACGCTCAAGAGTAGTTTTTGCTTTTTGAAACATCTTGAAGCTATTAGCTACTGATCCCCACTATTTGACGCAGGTGTAAGAAATGCTGCACAAAGAAAGCTTCTCGATGAGCTCGGCATTGTAGCTGAAGATGTACCAGTGAATCAGTTCACAGCCTTGGGACGCATGCTTTACAAGGCACCTTCTGATGGAAAGTGGGGCGAGCACGAACGTAAACAACCAACCATTCATGTTTTGATCATTTTGATTCTACAGGCTTTTGGTTATCATAGATCTGAGTGTCTCTGTGGATTTTTTCTTGCAGTTGACTATCTACTATTCATCGTGCGGGATGTGAAGGTTGCACCAAACCCAGATGAAGTGGCTGATATAAAGTATGTGAGCAGGGAAGAGCTTAAGGAGCTGGTGAAGAAAGCAGATGCAGGTGATGAAGCTGTGAAGCTATCTCCATGGTTTAGATTGGTGGTTGACAATTTCTTGATGAAGTGGTGGGATCATGTTGAGAAAGGAACTCTCCTTGAAGCTGCTGACATGAAAACCATTCACAAACTCTAAATCTTCTTTTCTTATCTTCCTTTTCTCATTTTGGTATTTGTCATATGAGAAAACATGAAACTCTATTGATTCCAGACAAAACTTGCTAGGACTTTTGTGTTGCTTCATTTGCAAGGATATGAATTAAACTGTTTGCATCAAAACAAGATTTATAATTTTTTTACTTCTTCTTGAATTACAATTTACAACAGTAAAGAAAGAACAGAGCACGTTGAAAACAGACCAACACCAACAGATAAAAAACGGAAGAAAGACAAAGGTGGGGAAAGTAATGTTAAAGACCACAACATTGTTAAGTAATCTCATCTCATGATTCCTTTCTCTAAGCTTCACCACTCACTACATTTGATCTGATTTATACTAAAGATTCCTTTTTTTCTCTCTCTCAAAAACAAAATTAATAATTTATTATGGAGAAGTGATCTCTTTTAAAATCACCTTCTCCGAAATAGTAACACTGTAACGAGTTTTTCTGCATCTGAAATTTCTGCCTGATCCAGGTAACGAGACTTGATCTATATGTTCGAAAGTTTGTCTTTTTCCATGTGGGATTGTTCGAATTTCCGTGATAGAGGAAATAGATTCAGTGATCATACTTAAGCTATCGAAAATTCGATTGCTTTTTTTAGATTCTTTGCCTTCTGCTGGGTCTGAACTTTATTCGTTTGATCAGCTCCAAAGCTCGTAAACTGTCTTCTGGGTTTGATTCGGTTGTTTCCGTAACAAAGAATATAAATATTGGTGTGTTTCAAATCATTTCATCAGATTACTTATGATTGATTAATCAACTCTCAAGTCTCAACTTTGATCGTATAGCTGAAGGAAATGGCGTTTGTGACAACAGCGGAAGTTTGTGACGCGAATCAAGAGCTGATTCGGAGTGGTCAGCTCCGAGCTTTGCAACCCCTTTTCCAGATTTACGGCCGTCGACAAATATTCTCAGGTCCAGCAGTTACTGTCAAAGTGTTTGAAGACAATGGCTTAATCCGTCAATTCATCGAAGAGAAAGGTAACTAAAAAAATGGATCCTTTTAAATCAAAGTTCAAATCTTTGACATGAGTTATGGTTACTCATAACATTTAGTTGTTACTTTGCAAATGGCTCTTTTGAGTGTATTCAAGATAATCTCTTTTAGTACTTAAACCATATTCAAGAATCAAAGATAATCTCTTTTATCAGGAAACGGTAGAGTTCTTGTGGTGGATGGTGGAGGGAGTCAACGGTGTGCGATACTCGGAGGTAATCCGGTGGTTCAAGCGCAGAACAACGGATGGGCAGGGATTGTTGTGAACGGATGCATAAGAGACGTCGATGAGATCAACGGTTGTGACATTGGAGTGAGAGCTTTGGCTTCTCATCCGATAAAAGCGAGCAAGAAGGGACTTGGAGAACAAAGAGTTCCGGTTAATATCGGAGGGACTCGGATCTGTGATGGTGAATGGGTTTATGCAGATACTGATGGCATTCTTGTCTCTCAGATTGAGCTCTCCGTTTGAGTTTTGCTTTTCTTGTGTTTGCTTTTGTTCAGTTTTCAAGGAGAAAAAAAATAAAAACTTGGTTTGTGTTTCTTCTCTATTGTTCTAAATCAAACTTATGAAATCTCGTTGTTTATTACTTTATATATTAACCAATGTAGTAGTAGAAAAGAAAGAAAGAGAGCAAAAACATGATAGTATTTTGAAGTTAAGCACAATAACATGAGCAAGCGGAACTAGTGGGAGTAGGTTGGCAACCGCCACCTTTGTTTCGAGAACAACCGGCCATGCACATCCGCTCACATCTTTGATTGTCTTTTCTTGATTCACATGTTCCAAATTGTGGCTGGTTTACGCAGCAAAATGAGTTATCTATTTTCGAAGACCGCCACATCATTTCTCTTGCTTCACCACCTGCAAATACATAATACATACACGCATACGCATCCTTCATTTTCATTTCATTGTGAATGCAAAAAAAAAAAAAAAAAAACATTTTCTTAGAAGATTTGTATACTAACCGGAAAGTAAAATGAACAGAGCTAGGAAAGCAAAGAGGAGGAATTTCGAGTTGACCATCTTCTTTTTTGTATATATCTTTTTAGCTTTGTAAAAGTGTTAGTATGAGTATGAAAACTATAAGTTGAAAATGTGATATATATATACAAGTGTTCGTTCACTTGTTTGCTAAAAGAGAAAGAGATAACCAAGATCTTAAACGTATTATATACAGTTTAAGCACGAGAAATATATGCTGTTAGGGTTATAAAATATACGATTTTATTATGTTGGTCTCAGAAAAAAAACCATAATAAGAAAAGAGATCTACATTGATGTAAATGACATTAGCAAGTTTGCATAAAAGTATAAAACAGAGGAGATAACCTTCCTTAAGTTGAAGATCTGAATTCTAAACTTTTAAGCTAAATAATTTGTGCAATACATTGTTTTTATTTTTGGCAACATTTCAAACGTTTTGGTCCATTTTATCGTACACTTACCATAACATAAATTGTATTTTTCTTGTCAACAAAGATGAAAAACGTATCAAAAGTGAATAGTTTCGATAAATGTGTGACTAATGTTGGGCTAAAGATAATATTTGTGTATTTCTGCAATGCCCATTGGGCTTCGGTATAATGAATTTGCTTGCAAAATACGAGGAAAAGTGAAAACTGTAAAACCTCAACTTAGAAAGTGAAAACGTAACCACGTTTCTGCTCGATCTAGCTCTCCTCTCTCTGTTTCACTCCCTAACATCGACTATGGCGGCGGAGAGATTCTCGATCTCTCTCGGAGGGAAAGGCTCTTCTCTGTCTTCTTCTTCCGTCTACAATGTTTCAGCTGGCGTTTCTCAGGTGCGAATCGATTCTTCTGCGCTCGACAGATTATCCAAAAAAACCCCTCAAACTTCCCAAAAGACCTCCTTCACTATCCCTCAATGTTTGACGACCGAGGAGGTTCGAGCTTCACTAGCCGTCCTCTTAAACAAGCTTATCCTATCAGCTTCCTCTCCCTCCTCATCTACCGTCCGTACGGTTCTCCCGGAAAAGTTATCGGAGAGTCTGAATTCGGAGGCGGAAGGGTTTGATTTCTCCGAGATTGATTTGAGCGGAGGAGAATGCACTGTGCTGGAGAACTCGTTTGCTCCATTGATCGCCGTATGCTCGGTTATCGACCACAAATCCTCGGTCCTCTCTCAGATTGTGGATGCGGTTGCTGCTCTGAGCTGCGAAGCTACAAAGGCTGATGTGACGTCGTTTAGCTCGTTGGATTCAGGAGACGGGTTTGGCGACAAAGACGCCATTGCAGTTGCTGGCGATCTCAAGGTTCTGCTAAACGGATCTAAACTCGTTGGGAAGAAAGAAGTCGAATCGGTTTCGAAGATCCCGAGGATTCACGGGAGATTCCGTGATGCTGTGAAAAGTGTGCATGCAGTTGTTAGGGTGGAGCTTAATTCCAGCGTCAAAGGAGCTGGAAACTCTGGAACTGGTGAGGCTTTGGGAACAACATTGTCTGCTTTGTCAATGGCGATCAGAAATCTCGGAGAGTGTTCGTTCACTCGTGCCAAATTGTGTTTTGAGTCTATTGAAAACGAGGATCTGAAGAATGGTTTATCGAGCTCTTTTGAGAAGTGTCGTCTTGATTATGAGAGTCTGAAGAATGGTCATAAGGTAGCATACGATGCACTATTTGAGGAGGACTACTGCAAATTTGCACACCTTGTGAATGAGTCTCTTGGAATTGTGTATAGACTTGTTGGTTTGGAAGCTGTGGCTGCTTTCTTTGCCCTTCAGGGTGGAGAGTTGTTCAGTGAGAAGAGCGTTGATGCTAATGTGGAGGAGGCTAAAACAGATAAAAAGAAGAAGAAGAATGAGAAAAAAGCGGTTTTGGGTAGAGGGACAAGCATTCTTCTCCAGTTTATCAAAGACAGACTGCTCGGTGAAGATGCAAGCGCTGGTGACCGGGTTGAGAGATTGAAGCAATGGGTGGAGAAAGTCTCGTGTCTTTTGAACCTCGAGGATCATGGTTTTGCTTGCTTCTTGGATAAAGTAAAAGAGATTGTTGAGAGTAATGAAAACAGAAGGCTTCCAAAGCTCCCTAAGGTAACGAACGAATTTTTGCTTTCTTGACTGTATAAGGTAGCTAAACATAGGATCTATTGTTTTCATATGCTAGCTGCTATAGAATGTGACTAGTCTAATGCCAGAGTTAATAATTTTCTATTTGGAGCAATATCTTCGTCTCTAATCAAATTTCTTGGATTGACAGTCTCTTTCTCCTTTGTTTGATTTATGACAGGGTACTCGTGATTTTGCGAAAGAGCAGATGACAGTCCGAGAAAAGGTGTTTTCAGTCATACAAGACGTTTTCAAAAGGCATGGTGCTTCTGCCCTTGATACACCTGTATTCGAACTGAGAGAGACACTTATGGGGAAATATGGAGAAGACTCAAAGTTGATCTATGATATCGCAGACCAGGTAAACTCAATTCGATTTCTGTTGAAAATGATTAAACTCTGTTCTTAGCCTCCATACTTATTTTGTTGTATAAATGCGTGTGATACAGGGTGGAGAGCTGTGTTCTTTACGATATGATTTAACAGTTCCATTTGCACGCTATGTGGCTATGAATGGTATCACATCATTCAAAAGATACCAAATAGCTAAAGTATACAGAAGGGATAATCCATCTAAAGGAAGATACAGAGAGTTTTATCAGTGCGATATCGATATTGCTGGTCTGTTTGAAAGGATGGGACCCGATTTCGAGATTGTGAAGATCATGACAGAGCTGATTGATGAGCTACAAATTGGAGATTACGAGGTGAATTTCTTGTACTGCTTTCTTGTGAATAATAAGTATTGCTCTTAAATACTGAAAATAGTAATCTCTTTGTATTGAATAGGTAAAGCTGAGTCACCGGAAGTTGCTTGACGGTATGCTGGAGATATGTGGAGTACCCCCGGAAAAATTCAGAACCATTTGTTCCAGCATTGACAAGTTAGACAAGCAATCATTTGAGCTAGTGAAGAAAGAAATGGTGAGAATCTCTTTCTCGAGTCATTTATCGTTCGTTATTGTACAATCAGCCGTGTTTGCTCATATGACGTGTGTATTTGATTAGGTTGAGGAGAAGGGTTTGTCTCCGGAGACAGCAGACAGAATCGGCAGTTTTGTCAAGGAAAGAGGACAACCTATGGAACTGTTGTCGAAACTAAGAGAAGAAGGCAGCGAGCTTTTAACTAATGCGTCGTCAAAAGAAGCACTCGAAGATCTGAGCATTATGTTTGAAGCACTTGAGAGGTCAAACTGTAGTAACAGAATAGTCTTTGATCTGAGTCTTGCTAGAGGTCTTGATTACTACACCGGCGTCATCTTTGAAGCTGTCTGCAAAGGAGCTGAGGTAAAATGTTACAATCACTCATACTAAATTTTAAGATGAACACTCTTTAAGAAAGTTTTTGATCTAAATAAAAGTTTTTGATTATTTTTTTCTATAAGGTTGGATCGATCGGTGCTGGTGGGCGATACGATAACCTAATCGGAATGTTCGGGACACGGCAAGTCCCAGCCGTTGGTATGAGTATCGGTATCGAGAGAGTGTTTAACATATTGGAAGAACTTCAAAAGCAACAGAAACAGGTACACGCTTGACTTGTAGAAGTGTATATATATGCTTTGATCTGTTTTGGTTCTAGAACTAAAGTTGGGATTGGCAACAAACAGGTGATTCGATCCACAGAGACGCAAGTTCTGGTTAGTATCATGGCTGATAATAAGCTAGCAGAAGCTGCGGAATTGGTGAGTCAGCTTTGGGCAGCTAAGATAAAAGCAGAGTATCTCGTGAGCAAAAGACGGACAAAGCATTTCGATCGCGCCACTGAATCTGGAATCCCTTGGATGGTGATTGTCGGCGAACGAGAACTCAGTGAAGGAGTTGTTACGTTGAAGAAGGTCGTTAAAGGCAGTGAAGAAGAATATCAAGGAGTTTCCAGAGATAGTTTCGTCGACCAGTTGTTGAAACTTCTCTCTACTTGAAACCTCAAAAGGTATATCAACTCTTTTTTTTTAGTTCTTGTTGTTACTATTGACAGTTTATTACAGAGCAGAATTTGATTCTGCAGAGAACAAAAAACAAGAATTTGATTACTATGTATAAGTTTGTTGTGTCGTAGTGAAAGTTCTTCGACGAGGCTTGTTTCTTCTTTCCCTCAATCTTCTTTCGATTACTTCTTCTTCTACTGCTTCGATCTCTAAGTTTTCGCTCTCCATTACGGTTCTTGAAGTACTATAAGGGAACAAAATTGATCTAAAACACCATAGCAGCGTGATTAGAGTAGGAACGTATAGGCACATAGAAGTCCAAACGCAAATAGTCCATTTCCAATTATAAGCCATTCGTTTAGTCCATGGCGGTTTCGAGGTTATAACGACCTCGGCTTCATAAAGCTGAGGCAATAACCGAGTTTGCGCACGCGGCATCAGAGTAGCTCTCACGGCTTTTGTTCTTGGCCATTTCTCTTGGTGCATTAATGCATCGATTGTCATTGTTTGTGCTTCGTTTGCGATTCCGGCTATAAGTGGAACACTCATCACAAATGTTCTCGCAAGTCTTATTGGTTTGCTTCTGAAACGTAACATACAAGGTTGGCTCGATCTTGCAATCGTTTCGCCTTTCAACGATAGAAGCTCTACCTTCAACTGTGTAAAACCACATAAGAAAATTTGTTAAATTCAATTAACATAATACGAACCATTATACAATTTCAACCATAACGACTTTTACCTGAAATAAACCAAGTCTTCGATTAAAATCAGATTCAGGCATCCAAAGAACTAAAGAGACATGAGCCTTATGGCCAACGGGAACACCAAACGGTCTTTTCCTCTTGTCGAAGCTAAAAACCGCACTTGGGTTATCTTCAGTGTAATCGAAGAACAATCTCTCTCTCACAACCACAGGCTTTTCTACATACAAATTCACAAGCCCAACACCGACAACAGCCGCTATGATCATCGCCAACACCATCACCATTGACACGTGGCATGCACCCATTATCCCAAACCATGTCCTCCTTACCACCCGACCAGCACCACCCTTTATCCGCGATGGAGCTCGTTTAACCGCTTTTTCCGCCGTTGAGATAGTATCCGTTGCGCGGCGGTACGAGCGGTAGAGGAGAAAGAGAGGTGAGGTTAAGACTACGAGTGCGTTGTAGATGAGGTCGGCTTGGATGTTGACTAGAGCCATGAACCAGTCGGCTCGTAATGGTTCAGGGATTTTGAGGTCCATGTCTAATTCTTCCATTGTTCGGTTCTTTTTTCTTTCTTTCTTTCTTGTTTTGGAGGGGATTCAAGATTCTCACGGTTTCTTTTATGACATGAAATAGATAAACAAACGTCGCTGTCTTATATAAAATATATGTATGAAAACATTTGCATGAAAGAGTTGAAACGTGTTGGTCGGTGTTCTTGAGTAGTGCCACGTTGCTTCAATGAGATCATACTGAATGTACCAGAAGAGATGAGCTCGAATGAAGGAACTAAATTTGTATCATTGTATATTTGTATGGTTTAATTGTTTTATATATCCACTGAAGTGTTGGATATAAGTTCGGGGTTTCAGCAGTTTTATATTTAGATAATCGATGTTAATTTCATGTAAATATAAACAGAAATATACAATACTTACAGCAAAGTATTAGCTACACATGTCACTGATTTCTCCTGATAGTGAATGTATCCATAAGTCTTGCAAATTGCAATTGTAAAATCAATTTACACAAAATGTATTATCATTTTTAGCTATATTTAATTTTTTTATATTAGTTTAAAAAAAAGTGGAGCAAAAGTCTTAAAGTGCACCGTACTACACTCAATAAACACCTTTGACAATAGAGGATAATTATTCTTTTTTTTTGTAAAATAAAATAATATTTGCCTACTTTAAAAGAGGGATAAATAATCTCGCATCGAACCTCTCGTAGCCCCCAAATTGTTCTATCTCTCTCGATTGAAGAAATTAGGGTTAGGGTTTTTTCATCACCCCCTCCCAATTCGATTACTCTTTTTCTCTCGTAGCCGCCATCAACGATGACAGGCAAGGCGAAGCCGAAGAAGCACACGGCGAAGGAGCTCCAGGCGAAGGCCGATGCGGCGTTGACCAACAGAGGCGGAGGAAGGGCCGGGCTCGCCGACAGGACCGGCAAGGAGAAAGGTGGTCACGCCAAGTACGAGTGTCCTCACTGCAAGATCACTGCGCCGGATCTCAAGACGATGCAGATCCATCACGAATCCAAGCATCCGAAGATGCCTTACGAAGAGCCGAGGAATCTCCACGAGGCTCTAGCTGCACCTGCTGAATCGTCCAAACCAAAGCCTGGTATCAGAGGAAGCCTCAAGAAGTGATTTGGATTGTGCTTTTCTTAATTCTCTGGGGTTTGTATCGAATTCCTTTAAAAATTGTCATCTTTTTTTATGTGAGAATATAAACTGCAATGATGCTATGATATAAAGTAACTGATATCTCTGATGATATCTCTTATAATTCCTCTGTTTCTTACTTATGGCTTTTGATTCCTCTTTTTTTTTGGCAATTTCTCTTCTTTTTTTTTTGTGGTGAAAAGAGTTGTGGTTTTGGTTCTTTGATTTCAATCTGTCAGCTTGGTCGGAATCTCCACTAGCTGGTCTTGAAATTAGCATCTCTGTTTCTGATTAGAAAAGTTTAGTTAAGCTAAAATTTCGTTTGGGGTGGAGATCTTAGGAAGAGTGAAAGTTTCTGCAACTGATGTTAAAAGTTAAAACCAAACAAGAGAGATTGGTACTTTGATCTGATGTCTGAAAAGCTTAGCCAAACATGTCGTGTAAGTTTTCAGTGGCGAAACATGCTTTTGCTTTTTTAAAATTCAAGCTTTCAAAGCATCTGGACTAGTTAGATGCATTCTTATCATCTTTCCATTATAAAAAGAAAGATTCTCATTCTCCTTGTGCTTGTGCGGCTTCAGGATGCACATGCGGCTCTTTAAAAATCCAAATCAAAATGAAAAATGGACTTTATAGCTCTTTTTGTGTTTGTTCTTGTTTGGTTGAGATATAAATTTTCTTTGTTATGAACAATTTAGAATCCATCTGTAAATTTCTCTAACTATATCGGAAAAAAAAAAAGAAGAAGACCAAATCAAATCCTCTGTTTTCTGAAGGTTTTAACTACTACCCTAAACTCAAAAGAATCATCATCATCATCATTATCACGACATTTGTAAAGAATCAAAATCTGGAAACAGAAACAATTTATATTCCGATTCCAGATGATTTCTTGTCACCCTCTGGTGGCTTGAGGTTTTTGCTGTTCTTGGACGACATTCTCCTCTTGGTACAGCAGCTTTCTCCTCTTGAGACCATAACCATTGTACTGATAGATAATGCTGTACAGGCACTGCCTTAACCTCAGCACATCGAAATCCTCTATGAACTTCAAATCTCTTTGCCTCCATTTCAAACCAGCGCACTTTTGGTATTCCTCAAGAACCGATGATAAACACCAGTTTTGAACTTTCCTCAAACATCCCACAAGACAACCTGTCCTATGCTGCAGTTACAAAACACAGAAACACCATTAGACTCTGAAGCTGTTAGCTCAACACAGAGAAGAGTCTGGTTTCGTTGTGTTACCTTCCCGCGCTTACAGTGGATGAGAATTGGGTGGTTTCGAACATCTGCAAGCAAACAAACAGTAATGAGACAACATCTAAAAGAGAAGATAACAAGACGTCAGAGAGGGTCTCTCTTAGAATCCTTACCAACAAGGACTCTAAGAGCACTCAAGACTGTATCCTTTGGCATAGGAGTTGGAGGATCCTATGGTCGTAAAACAATCCAAACTCAGAAATCAAAGGCATAACAACCATGATTCCGATAAGCTATTATGATAAGCTAATTATAACAGACTAAAGACAGTAACAAACAAGAGAGAGAGAGAGGTCTTATATGTTCTTGAAGAAGTCAATAGAAACCATACCGTTTTGCCTTCGATTCCGAATTGGAAAAGCTTGATGTTGTTTGATTCAAGAGACTTGAGATTCTCTTCAGGGTATGGTTCAGGACACAGATAACTGTTAACCCAAACAAAAGATCAAAACTTTCTGCGTGTCATTTTCAACGACAACATTTATTATGAAAAAGTTTAATAAAATTAATTAAAAGCCAAGAGAGTGAAAGTGATTTAAGGAATAGAAACAACGACAACGATGCCTGATTAAATGTTTTTTTTTTTTCTGGATAAATAACTCTTCAGGAGATTTAGAGTAAGAGAAGTCTTACATGATGGAGCGGAGATTCAAGGTTGATAAGAAACCGAAATTCTCGAGCTGAGGAAACCCAGATCGGTAAACTCCGTCTTCGACCATCGAGAAATTCGGCGGCGGAATCAAAACCTCGCCGTCGTTGTCATCCACTATTAAACCCATCAATTTCAGCTACGTCTCTCAATCGAATCAAAGCAATTCAATGGTTTCTCTCCCTCCGTCTCTTGATTAAGAGACAGAGAATACGAGAAAGAAAAGGAGAGAGAGAGAGAGAGCTAAACCCCCAAAATCTAGAGAGAAAGAGAAATCGATGAATTGAACACAGAAACAAAAAAAAAAAATTTTTTATCTGATTAATGGGATAATGATCAAGTGGGGTTTTTAATTTAATTTTTTAAAAGGAGGTGACGAAGATTTAGGAGGTTTTGATAGATTTCTTCTGATTTGGAAAAAAACAAGTTTACCTAAGAAAATAACTTAAAACCGCCATTAGACTGTTCTTGCTGGATCCTGGATTATGTTTACTCTGTAAATCTCCCAGATTATGACACGTGTCACATCCTTCGTTTTTCGTTAGTCCCTCGTTAGCTGATTGGATGAATCTATTTGACTCAAGTCAGTTTTTAGAATTGTCTAATTAATTTTTTTCTTTCCCGTAACATCAAAGATTCTTGACCCCACAAAGTCATTGTTAGTTTAGTATTCAACAGTTTCTAGAAGTAAATTAGCTTTAATCTTTATCCTCTCTGTTAATTGATCATCTTTAAAACATTCACACAACATGCAACCACTATATATGTACATACACTCCAATAACGATTTTACATAGATCAGATATTCCCATATCAAAATATGTCTTAACTTTGTAAACAAACATAAAATAAAATTAAATAGACGGCTATGAGATTGAATTAAAAAGTTGGATGAAGATGAGGATTCACATTTTGTTCTGTAGCAGCGGCTGCAAGCAACTCCGGCGGTATCATATCTTCCCATCCTTTACTAGGACCTGCGATTGCGGTTAAACCGCTTTCCCAACCGATGTGCGATACGTGTTTTACGTTTGTCGGACCTCCTATCTCCATTCCTGATGTCTCGACTTCTTCATTCTCCTCTTCTTTGTAAGCTACAGATATTTATAAACTCTAAAAAGTCATATTACCATAGATACAAAAATCTACCTATTTCTAAATCAAGACGCATGCATTCGGATGTACATGACGCAAAAAAATATTGCGTTAAATATCCATAGATACAAAAATCTTTGAGAACATTACCAAAAAGTTGAGAAATGGTCTTGAAGCTCTTGAAAAGCCGGTTAATACCGGTAGAAATCTCCGGTTTAGAAACCGCAAGGAACTTGAATACATTCTTCATGTTTTCTTCCTCCTCTTGATCACGAATCCCTTTCCAAAGCACATCAAGAGATCACATTGAAGATACATACATGAGATGTCAATTAAATATATACGTATTAAAAAAAAATTATGAAAAAACCTTGATGAGAGTGGTGATGATGAGGCTTAGAGAGAGGGGATAAAACGGAAACACTTGATTCGGAGATGCATCCGACGGAGAAAGGAAGCACAACAAGTCTCTCCATTCTATCTCTCATTTTCTACCAAGCCTTTCCTTTTACAATACTTATATTTATATATAAGAGTATGTGTGTATATGTATTATACTATGAAAATGACCACCCACCAAATGTTTTTATGTATTTCTTTTTTTTTGTTTTGGTTGTAATCTTTGTTGGAATAGAATTTGGTGATGGTCGTGCTATGTGTTTTTCTGACTTCGTTGTGAAGTTACAATGATGTTTACTTGTGCATACGATGTTGCGGTTAGCTAGAGTAGAAAGTGATAGATATTTACTTCTTTTTTTTTTGGGAGCTCAACTACTGTTTGGTAGATTGTTTTCTTCGGTGACGTATCATTTGCACTATTTATTCTTTATTCAAAAACAAGAGTATGGAGAATTCTAAAATGTTATTTTGTATATGTGCATTATACAAGAATTGACTTGTGAATGAAAGGATGACTACAAACAAAACAAAATCCGTTGGTTATATATTGTAGATGGTGTCTGTAATGATAATTCAAGAACTCTATAATGCATGTATAATGATGGCTTATATGATTAGAATGTACATTAATTGTTTCATCCCCTTGAAATCAAAGCAATCTATATGATCTTTTGAACAATTTCTTTTGCAAGATGTAATCATCAAGTGATATGATGCCAAAGCCTTCTTTTTATATTTTCTTAATCTTCGCTCGTCGCTTACTCAACCATTTGATACTATTGTAAAAAATACATGTAGTGGAAGTTTTATATGCAAAGTGTAAAACTAGCCATCACAATAATTGACATTCTCAGTTGCAAGCTAATGAATTTACATAATTAAAATAGAACGAAAACATTATGGAAAACAAATGGTTAGGTTGATATCTTGTTAACAGTTTGTTCCTAACATGTAGTGTTAAAGATATATACATAAAAGCTGTTAAAGTTTCATATTTCTCAAAAGAAATACAGACAAATGTATATTAGATTTATGTGACAATTGAGTTGTTTCAAAATGAAAAGCTGAAACATTTTTTCGTATTGCAAATGTGTTTTCAAAGATGACATTCAAATTCTGAGAAAAGCCTCTTGAAAAGATTCAATCATGATCAGAAGAAATGTGTTCTTCTTCTTCTTCTTCTTCTTCTTCTTCTTCTGCTTCGATCTGATGGAAAGATGAGGAACCACTTCCCTCGCTGGCGTCATCATCGGAATAAACACTTTGGACTACAGATTTTGAGCTATGAATGTGCTCAAGCTGAGTTTCATGATTCTTCTCCTCCTCTTCCTCATCATCAGTATGATCATGATCATCATCATGAGCAAGACTGTTGATTCGCCTGCTTGTGTTCCCCGGCGAACCAACAGGATCTCTCTCGATGTCAAACCGCAAAGAAAAGCTTTCTTCTTCTTCTTCCTCCTCATCACAACTGTTTTTACTGCTTAGCCTCTCATTGTTATCTTCTTCCTCAGAGCTATAACTATACTTTATCTTCAAGCTCTGTGCAGTTGCGTTCGTTTCATCAATGGACCTTCTCTTCTCGCTTCCAGAGTCAGAGGAGCTGCTGCTGCTACTAGAGCTTCTTGGTTTCTCTACCTGAGAATGTTCCTCCTTTTTACCCTTTTCGGAGTCTGAATCAGACGACTCATCATCTTTATATGTTGCGGTTTTTGCCTCCTCTTGCTTCTTCATACTTACCCTTGACTCTTGCTTCTTCATACTTAACCTTGACTCTTGCTTCTTCATACTTACCTTTGACTCTTGCTTCTTCATACTTTTTCTTATTTCTTCTTCTTTTTCTTTTACCGCTTCTTCTTCTTCTTCATGTTCTGAGTCTGAGTCTGATGAAACACTGGCTTTGTCCTCATCCTCTTTCAAAAGAGAGAAAGGAGTTACAGAGCAAGAACCGTGTCTTCTCAAAGCAATCGACATACTCTTGTCCCTAAAGGACAAAATCGGAACAGCTGTTGGAATACCATCTTCTGTAGACATGGAAAGGAAGCTAAGCGCAACCATCACATCACTTATCAAAGGACGAGCCGTTGGTTCCTCTTGTAAACACATTGATGTTATCGCCACTGCTTGATTCAACCCTCTCTCCGAGAAATTCTTCTTCAACAGAGGATCCGCCATATCCGGATACCTTTTCGGGTCTCTAAATATCGGTTGTGCCTGCGCAAAAACAAAACATATCATCAAAAATATGATTCCAACACAAGGAAGAGACGTTAGGGTTTAGTAGCTTCTTACCCAAGCAACTAGGTTTTGTTCTTCAGTAGGTTTAGTGGTGTCAACAGCTCTTCTCCCGGTGATGAGTTCAAGCATCACAACTCCAAAGCTATAAACATCTGATTTGACGGTGAGTTCGTCCCCACGAGTGTACTCAGGCGCAGAGTAACCGTAAGTGTCCATAACCCGGGAAGAGAGAAACAAGCTATCACCAGTCCCTGGCTCTAGGTTATGCAAACCGAAATCACAAAGCTTAGGGTAAAACTCATCGTCTAACAAAATATTCGAAGCTTTCAAATCTCTGTATATCACCGGTGGATTCACTTTGTCGTGCAAGTAGTCCAATCCTTGCGCTGCACCAAACGCAATCTTCATCCTTGTTATCCAATCCATCGGCTTCTGGCTTGCCTTTTGCTCTGCATGTTATCAATTAGTCTCTCTAAACAAAGCTACTAACAAGAGGTAATTTTTTTTTGCAAGGTCAATGTACCGTAAAGATGGTCTTGAAGGGAACCTCCGGAGACATATTCAAAGACCAAGAGCCGTTGATCTCCATCGGCGCAGTATCCAACAAGCTTGACAAGATTCGGGTGTTCCAGTTTAGCTATTGATAAGACTTCAGCTTGAAACTCTTTGTTACCATGCATTCCATGCTTGTCTAGCTGCTTTACAGCTACCAACTACACACACAGAGGAATGGACTAACGTAAAGAGAAAATCTCATTGCTTGAAAATGTAATCAACGTTGAGAACTTTGAAAACAAACCTGGCCAGTAGATTGAAGGGTTCCTTTGTAAACCCTACCGAATCCACCTTCTCCTAGAAGCGTTTCTTGCCGGAAATTCTTGGTCGCCGTCGCTAGTTCTCGGAAGTTGAATGTTTTCACTGGCGCTTGCTCTGTTTCTCTTTCTTCTACATGTTTCGTCGCTGCCACTGAAACGCAAACAAACCCCACCATACTTTTTTTACCAAATCAATCCAAGAAAATGGGTTTGAATTTGTAAAATCTGAGAACTTGTAATTATGATTTACCAGGTGGTGGTCTGAATCCGTGTTCATCGTTATCGTTAGACTCGTTATTTCTAGGAGAGTTTTTGCTCTTTTGTGAAGTGAAACACGGAAAACAATTCATCATTTTTTGAAAATCAATAAAAAAATTCTATAAGCCTACAAACAAACAAAAAAAATAAGGAAGGAAAAATTGTTAACAATGGCGGGGTCCTTCAAGAGAATGAAGGACCCACGTTAAAGGGCAAGGAATTTTGGGAGATTGTAAAAGAAAAGAAACAGAGGAAGAAAGCGAAAGGAGAGAGAAGAGAGAGAAAGAAGAAATTTTGAAACCAATCAGAATACATGAGCGATGAAGTTTTCCGATGAACCATGCGAGAAGGAGGGGAACAAGTTTCGGTTTTTTTAGTGGACATTTTTCGTTTTTGTCTTTTACAAAAACTTCTATTTTTTGTTTTTTTTGGCAACTTTCTTCAAAATCCCTAAAGCATGGAGAGCCATTCTTCTTACCATTTTCTTCAATCTAATTTTAAAACTAGTTTTAGACTTTTGGTTTGTTATATAAGTCAAAAGTTTTCATATGCATTTTGTTTATCTGGTGGATCTTTTGTAAGATCAGAGCTAAACATTACTAGAACCGGACCAACAAAAAAATGATTCATACTATGTGATCTGCTTTTGCATTTGTCATCAAATGAAAAACCCAAACAAGTGATAACTTTCGACTACATGTGTATACAATAAAAATTTAACTAAAATGTTAATATCTCAGAAAAATAATGAACTTTCATTACACGATAACATAACCATCTTATTTTTTGACATTACAAATATATTTATTATTTTTTGTAAAATATTCTACTAACAAAACATATGATTTGTTGGATTCAAGATATGATACAGAAACAAGAGAGACAAATACTTACAAACATCATTATCCTTTCCTTTTTTTGTCAACAAATCTTATTATCTTTACTATACTCGAAAATTAAAGTCACTTTTGCACCATTTGTAACATGACACGTGGTGGAATCTTTAGTTTAACCTTCCACTTTCCCATCTCTCTCCTTCTTTCATTTCTCGTGTCGCCGTCTGCAATTTCTCCCCGACGCTGGCAAAAACCTAGCGCCTTATGCTCGCTTAACGCCGGAGTTTTGTCGGTCACCGATTCCGAAACTTCGAAACAAACGTGATTCCGTCGCTGTCGCTGCCGCGAGTGACACCCAATCGGAAGATCCCCATTTGTTTTCCAATTTCTGGAAAGGTGGTTTCCTTTAATCAACCCTCTTAATTCCTTGTGTTGAATCTATCAAATGTTATCAATTTCGAAATGGGTCCCTTCTAATCTCCTAAAGGATGATACTTTCGTTAATTGAGCTCATGATCCAAGCATAGAGTTAGGGTTTGCTGTGTTCCGATTAAGTTTTCACTCTGAGATTTTCCCTTTCTATGTCTCTCTCAGTAGGTCTCCGGTGTGTCCTTGTGATTTGATGATAAGTGTTTCGCATTGAAATTAAGATGCAATGCCTAATGGCGGATGGAGCTTTAATCACTCTAGATTCCGACGACATTCTGGTAGCGGAACACACTCTAGCAGTCGGCAGAGAGTTTCCCGATGTGGAAACTTGCAGAAGAACTCTGAAAGATCTCGCTATAGCTCTGCATTTCGATCTCCGCATAGTGAAATCAGACCGTAGCCGATTCATAGCCAAATGCTCAAAAGAAGGCTGTCCATGGCGTATCCACGCAGCCAAATGCCCCGGCGTCTCGACATTCTCCGTCAGGACGCTTAACGGCGAGCACACGTGCGAAGGCGTCCGTGACCTCCATCATCAGCAAGCGTCCGTTGGTTGGGTTGCTAGATCGGTAGAGGCGCGGATCAGAGACAATCCTCAGTATAAACCGAAGGAGATCTTGCAGGATATACGCGACGAGCACGGCGTTGCGGTTTCGTACATGCAAGCTTGGCGAGGGAAAGAGCGGAGTATGGCTGCGCTTCACGGGACGTACGAGGAAGGGTATAGGTTTCTTCCTCTGTATTGTGAGCAGGTGAAGCTAGTCAATCCGGGAAGCTTCGCGTCTGTTTCAGTTTCCGGACCTGAGAATTGTTTCCAGAGGTTGTTTATTGCGTACAGAGCTTGTATCTCAGGGTTCTTCAGTGCTCGTAGGCCGCTTCTTGAGCTGGACAGAGCTCATCTTAAAGGGAAGTACCTTGGTGCGATCCTCTGTGCAGCTGCTGTTGATGCAGACGAAGGTTTGTTTCCCTTGGCGATTGCTGTTGTGGATAACGAGAGCGATGAGAACTGGTCTTGGTTCCTCTCGGAGCTGAGGAAGCTTCTTGGGATGAACACTGAGATCTTGCCGAGGCTGACGATACTCTCGGAGAGACAGAGCGGAGTCGTGGAGGCCGTGGAGACGCATTTCCCGAACGCCTTCCATGGGTTTTGCCTTCGTTACGTGAGTGATAACTTTCGAGATACGTTCAAGAACACGAAGCTGGTTAACATCTTCTGGAACGCTGTCTACGCGCTCACGGCGGCGGAGTTTGAAGCTAAGATTAACGAGATGGCTGAGATCTCGCAGGATGTGTTGCAGTGGTTTGAGCTCTTCCCTCCTCATCTATGGGCCGTTGCGTACTTCCAAGGAGTCCGGTACGGTCATTTCGGGTTAGGGATCACGGAGGTTTTATACAACTGGGCGTTAGAGTGTCATGAGCTTCCGATTATACAGATGATGGAGCACATTCGTCTTCAGATATCTTCTTGGTTCGATGCGAGACGTGACATGAGCATGAGGTGGAACTCGATACTTGTGCCTTCCGCGGAGAGGAGGATCACTGAGGCTGTTTCGGACGCGAGGTGTTACCAGGTGTTGCGTGCGAATGAGGTCGAGTTTGAGATTGTTTCGACGGAGAGGACGAATATTGTTGATATAAGGACGAGGGTTTGCTCGTGCCGGCGGTGGCAGATTTACGGTTTGCCGTGTGCTCATGCGGCTGCGGCGCTGATCTCGTGTGGGCAGAATGTGCATATGTTTGCGGAGGCGTGTTTCACTGTGGTGAGTTATCAGCAGACGTATTCGCAGATGATTGGGGAGGTTCCGGATAGGAGCTTGTGGAAGGAGGAAGGGGAAGAGGTGGTTGGAGGAGGAGGGAGCTTGAGGATACGGCCGCCGAAGACGAGGAGGCCGCCGGGGAGACCGAAGAAGAAAGTGGTTCGAGTTGAGAATTTGAAGAGACCGAAGAGGATTGTGCAGTGTGGGAGGTGTCATTTGCTTGGTCATTCTCAGAAAAAATGCACACAGCCTATTTGATGAAGATATGAACAACCTTTCACTACTTTTATTTATTTTATTTACCTTTCTTCTTCTTCTTCTTCTTTCTTGTTTTTGATGTAACTTGTAATGTTTAAGTTCGACTGCTTTTTAGACTTGTCTTCTTCAATGGAAAAATAGAGTTGTTGATGTTTAACCGTAACCGGGTTTTGAGTATAATAACAGATCCACTTCTTTGATCTGGTTTATTGTTTAGAAGTACAGTACTGTAGTTTAATTCAATTGAAGTCTAATAAATTGTTAGGATAGGTTTGGCATCTGAGGTTCGCTGTGGATATTGACTTTCGAGTATAATAATTGATCCGGTTCTTGATCCTTTTTTCTTGGTTACTAAATCTGGTTCCTGGTACTGATTTGGCTTTTGGTTTAGAACTGAGTGAATTAAATCGAAATTGAAATTGGTTCCGATGGTTTGGTAGATGAGATTCGATCCGAATATGGTTTAGTGTTTCAATAAACCAATAAAAGGCATCTGTATCATCATCACTATCACATGTGATTCCGTAACTAAAGAATGACACAGTTCGGTTTGATGCGGTTATGTAGATTTTCTTCAAGACAAACCGAAACCTTGAAAAGATCATACTATAATCCAAACATCAGACCGATTGGTTCGATTCGGTTAAGGAATTGGTTGATTAGAATCGAGTGTTTTAGGACACTTTGACGCGCACTAACGTTACGACACGCACGATCAAAGAGTGAATTGCGGGACGCAGCAGCAAATGCGCGAGGCGTTTTTGGACCAATTCTACTACATAGCCACGATTTGTGTTTATCCCCTCTGAAAAAATAAGAAAGAACAAACCTCGGATCTGCTGCATTCTCTCCAGAGCTTGAGTCAGGTCCGTCTCCTGATTCGCTTTTCTCGTTTATTATTTAGCTTGTGGGTATTGCTTTGTGTGATCTGCTAATCCGTCTGTTCTTCGTGGGTATCGTTCGATTCCTTCTTTACACAAATAAATGTGAGTCTTTTTGTTCTGTGTGGAATAGATGAGATGTTTCTGTTGTTCCGTTGATTGCAGGATCTCTGTAGATTTAACCATTTGTTGATCTCGATCGATCGCATTTCTTTACCGTAACATTAATATGATCCTTAGTTGACTGAAATGTAGATCTTGGTTAGGTTTTAGGCTATGTGGATTGTGTTTTTGGATTATATTCGATTTGTCTAAGAATCACTGATGAGTGCTATGAGCTAAAAAACTGTTTTTTTGCGTCATATTTGTTTTGGAAATTTTGATCCTGTAAAATTATTGGTACTGTTTTCTAGTCTGCTTATGGAAATTTTCATTTTTTTGATAATATTTGGTAGTTTTCTGAAAAAGTGCGAGTTTTGATATATCTACAGATTTAAGCTTTTGAAGACTACCTTGGAACTTTGCTACTTGTGAAGTCTAAAGTTATCTCATACTGCTCAGAAGATTGTTGAGATTCAAAGATGGCAGAGATAAACAAGAACGAGGTCGACATTGTCATTGGTGCTGTTAATGCTGATCTAACACAATTCTTGAGCAGCTGGAGACCTTTCTTCTCCGGATTCCATCTCATTGTTGTCAAAGACCCTGAGCTCAAGGACGAGCTCAACATACCAGATGGCTTTGACGTAGATGTCTACTCAAAGACCGACATGGAGAAAGTCGTGGGCGCGTCCAATTCCTCCATGTTCTCAGGCTACTCTTGCAGATATTTCGGTTACCTCATATCCAAAAAGAAGTACATTGTCTCCATCGATGACGACTGTGTCCCTGCTAAAGATCCCAAGGGGTTCCTTGTCGATGCCGTCTCTCAGCATGTGAACAACCTCGAGAAACCAGCCACGCCTCTCTTCTTCAACACCCTTTACGATCCTTACACCGAGGGAGCTGATTTCGTCCGTGGATACCCTTTCAGTCTCCGTGAAGGTGTCCCTTGTGCTGCGTCTTGTGGACTCTGGCTTAACCTAGCTGATCTTGATGCTCCAACACAAGCTCTCAAGACAGAGCAGAGGAACACTACGTACGTTGATGCGGTTTTGACTGTCCCACTCAAGGCTATGCTACCGATAAGCGGAATCAACATCGCTTTCAACCGTGAGCTGGTGGGTCCAGCTCTTGTGCCTGCGCTTAGATTGGCTGGAGAAGGGAAAGTGAGATGGGAGACACTTGAAGATGTTTGGTGTGGGATGTGTCTGAAGCATATCTCTGATCATTTGGGTTATGGTGTGAAGACCGGACTGCCTTATGTGTGGAGGAACGAGAGAGGAGATGCTGTGGAGAGCTTGAGGAAGAAATGGGAAGGAATGAAGCTGATGGAGAAGAGTGTTCCGTTTTTCGAGTCGCTCAAGTTGCCTGAGACTGCGCTCAAAGTTGAAGATTGTGTGATTGAGCTTGCTAAAGCTGTGAAAGAGCAGTTAGGTTCAGAGGATGCTGCATTCACGCAAGCTGCTGATGCTATGGTTAAGTGGGTCCAGCTCTGGAACTCTGTTAACTCGAGCGAGTGAAGTTGGAACCAGTGAATCTATCTCTCTGAGGTTAGGTTCCTTTTATCACTTCTAAGCTTATTATATCTATCATATGTCTCAGGGATTTATCATCATGTTTATTTTCCTCTTTTTATCTAATTATAAACATGTTTTTGTTTAGACTTTCAATAATGTAAACTTTGACTCTTGTTCGTTTCAATGATGATATTATCCATTGCTTAGTTTTTTTCCTTCTGGTTCTTCAACTTGTCTGCTGTGTCATTCTTGTACTTTGGTATATTCACAAAGATACAACAAGCATTAGCCTTTTGTTCTACATATGTGGGGGGGTTACAAAAGAGAATAGAAACAATTACATGTTAGGCAACCTAATGATTCTAGGCACCATGTTCCGTGGTTGAAGATGTTGATGCATTGGCTGCCAATTTATTGAGTAAAGACTGAGTATCTATAAGTTTTTCCCTAAGCAGTACATTGTAGTCGTAAAGAAGCTGAAATTTCTTCTTGATGTCGATTGCGTCCACTTCTGAACCAGAGGACCCTTCACTGAACTCTGCAATAGTAACAGTAGCATGGCTTATTTTAGATACATTTAACTTTCACTTCTACTTCGAAAACATAAACCATACGACACATGTACTGCTACTGAATCTAGATCAATAGGGAAAATGTGGAGGGTTAAGTTATAAACAATGTTATAAATGGAAGCCATACCCATTGGGGGAGGTGGAGGGATTGTATCGTCGGCACTATGAGAAATTGGATGGCTTTGAGAAGACTGGCTTATGCTCTTCTTATTTGGGATGTTGTCTCCATGAGCTAAAGAAGAAGCCGAATCGAAAGATGTCATTTCTAGGCTTGCAGGTTGTGGAACTACATTCTGGAAAAATGTAGACAGAATTAGGAACTCTCAAGTGCTCTAAAAGGAAAGGGAAAACCCAAAATAAATAGTTAGTTACCTTCTCAATACTTAAGCCAGGTTTCTTGTTCGGCATAATAGATTGCTGCATTTTTGTTCTCGGTGGTCCACGTCCCGAGTTAGAGCTAGTAGGAGATGCTGGAGGTCTCGCTAAACCACAGATTGCTGACATCGTTGTCGTTTTGATGGCATCATCGACCAATATGCTGCAGTCCCATGTGTATGCAACATATCTTCTCAGCTAAATGAGGAGTGTTCTATGAGCATCTTCACAATAAGAGGACATTGCAAGAAGAAAAACATAAAAGAGGAGAAGACAATTACTTTATCCCAGTGGTCAAGAGCTTTACGACGCCTCCGTATCCTCCTGAATATAGTATCTTCATTTCGCAGATTCTTGATCCTGTACTCACACTATACCAAGAGCCAAGTTACCACCATCCAGGATTTGCTCAAAAAGGACTAGAAAATTTCCTAAGATCTATAGTACACACTCGCTTATTTCATGCTAGAGAAAAAAAGAAAGGGGAGAGAGGGAAATTATACATAAGTAAAGAAGATGGAGAGGCTTTAACCTGCACTAGTAGGTAGAAAAATATGCCAATACTGATGCAATATAGACCACCAAGATCAGCAAGAAAGCTAACTGTAAAACAGCAAACAGAAAGGGGAAAAAAAAAGGATACTCAGTAAGTAATAACTTAAGCTGCTCTAGTCTTCTCTAAGTGAACATACTACATCAAGTAACAGGGCTTCACAAGAAGTGATTGGACAAAGTAAATTCACTAACCAGGACCAAGTATATTTTCATGGTCGATCTCAACAATATAAGCAGACAGATAGTTGATGAACAGTGTGGTGTTGAGTATGCCATCTGCTGACCTCCCCATAGAAGCCTGAAGCTGAGCAGTGTCCCGGTAAACTGAGCCAGGGATAAACTCGTGAAACAGAGGCTGAATCAGCTTAAGATCATGCAAATGATGGTAAATCCGAGGGAACAGATTAAACTTCAGTACGTTCCCTTCGGTTCCACGGAAAGTAACCGGTCTCTCATCAAGAATGCTTCCGTTTCTCAGAGTGCCACTAACATAACTCATCTCCTTCTTGTTACTTCCATTCTTGCAAGTGAAGTTAAACTGAAATCCAACAGCAGCGGCAGGGGAATCAGGAAGATCAACGAAGTGCCAAGAGATGTAGAAGTAATCGTTTGTGAGACGACATTTGCTACACTTGAAATTCACAGTTGGGCCTGAAGTTGTATTTCTACAAGTATAGTTTCCAAAAGTGGAAAGAGATGAAACTTTGAAGTCGCTGAATCCAGGATTGCCAGTGACTAAATTCCCAATACCGCGTAGATTGGAGCAGCTCATGTCAGAGACGGCAGTGATGTTAAACTCCAGATCGTTCTCGAATGAGATTAGATCTGGAGAATTAGTAGCTCTCACGTTGTGAACTTCCATGGTTCTCTTGGTTATGATTTGGTAAAGCAGCCTGTGAAGAAACTGAAAAGCAAGTCAATTTCTTTGAATTCAACAACAAATCAAACACGGAATTTGAATTTTGAAAACTCACGCAGCGAATAATCCGATGAAGACGATCCAGCTCGCTACAGAGAATGTTCCGCCAAGTTCCGTTTTCCGTTTTTTCAAAATCTGCTGATCATCCTGAGAGATTCAAAGTGATGGTAAACCAAATTAGTAACCAATTCCATGAGGAAACCCAATAAGCGAAGCAATGAATCTGGGCAAAAAAGGGGAAGAGAAGCACTAACGAGCCAATGCCTAGTGGAGAAGAAGACATCGAGTCGAGTAATCCACCAGCGGAGATTGAACCAGATATTACGACCGTCGCCGAGCTTGGTGAATCTGAGGAAGAAGCAAAAGAGCAGCCACGAGAGAAGCATCACGAGCGTGGCTTCGAGGAAGATAGCCTGAGACTGCGTGAACTTCCGGATCCTGTCGAAGGCGAATATCGTCTCGGCGAATGATACTCCGCTGTAGTTGACGTCTTTGTCCGACGAGATCGTCGACGGCCATCCGAAGATCTCGCAGCTTCCTGAGTTTCGGTTTAGAAGCTGGCCAATCCCGCAAGCGCAGCTCGTGGCGTTGTAAGTGATGGAGTTTTTAGGGCACGCCATTCACGGAGCTTCGAAAAGTCGACGAAGAAATGAATGAACTCCGACGAAAACCCAGAGAGAGAGAGTCGGAGAGAAAACAAGAGGGGCAAGAAAGGAATTTCCGTTCTGTGTTTCCTTTTTTTCCTTTTAATTGTTTATTATTTTTTTGTCCAGCGTCAGAGAACCAGATCACGAAGGAAAGGACCAGCCTGTAAGTAAACGATAACCGGCTGGTTCGGTTCATCCCAATAAATTTTCCCGCCAGACCAATTAAACCGCAAAAACGAATTTCGTCAACGTCCTCATTTGACGATCTCTATTTGGAATACCATGTCGACTTTCTTTGTGCTTCTCTCTGATTACTTCTTTCTGAAGAAAATAAGTGATTTGAGAAACTTGATATTGATGTACAAAAGAAAATTTTGAGGATTAATTGAACTTCTTTATAATCTGAATGACAAAGCTCAAGACTGATGTATATATTCATCTAAATTGTACTTTCACTAACTAAGCAAACATAGCAAAGTGACTCTTTTTCTGTTTTCCATCATTACAAGTCTTCTTCTTTGCTAAGCGTAAGACTTGTAATCACATCAAAGAGTGTTGTTGTGGCTCATACTTAATGCAAGTCATTCATGTTCTTTCTTTCCTCTTTTCTATGAAAACGAATGTTCCGAGAATAAAAACATGACGTGCAGCAGAGGAGTACGAGTAGGTGGTGCATGCTGTAGCATATATTGACTGACGAAGCATGAAGGAGCAGATTATTTTTGAGCCGCAGAGATTTCTTTTTGTAAATAATAAAAAAATCAGAAGTGAAGTCGTTTCAAACAGCGGATTTATTCCACCTGCACTTGTTGGAGTTTCCTCTTTTCCAGAGTCTAAAGAACAAATGCCTTTTATAAGATCGATATTGTCTGTGGTTTTGTTTAACCCAAAAAACAAAATGTATGTGTTTTAAATACGGAATTGAAAGAAAGATTTAGTCTGTGGATATTGATAATTATACTGAGAAATTTATGTTGCATTTGTACTTCAATGATTGAACGTGAACATCTTTTCGACCAAAGTCAAAACATGCTTCTCCTTTAATTATGTTTCTGATTTGATTTGTAACTTTTACCAGCATGATTTCGTTTCTGTTAAATAGCTAAATTCAAACCATTTAATGTAGGTTCATTTACGAAAATATCTAAGATAATTTTGGCAACTTATTTGGTGCATGAGATTTTTTTTTAAACGAAAACTAAACCACTATTCTCGTATTCAAACTCTGGTTTAGGAAGATGGTTAATCAAAAGATATATTGTTTTCTGTTCTGAATAATGTTATACTTAATCAAAAACTTGGAAAAAAGATCATGACGTTAAAAATCCAAAAAAAAAGGATTTGGAATAAACTTTCAAATCAATCTAGCTATTTCGACATAACTGAAGAAGAATAAAGAAAATATGAATGGGTGAATGAAAACAAAACCTTTTTATATTAATGTGACTGTACATATGAGAAGAAAAATTGAAAGCATATTACAAGATTGCAGACATCAAGTGATAAACAGAACTTATTCTAATAGCATTATTGTTACATTTATATATGTTATGCATCAATTTAACAAGTGAAGACGCATCCTCCACGTTCTCCCATATCTCTAATCCACCAATTTTAATTCTTGTTCTGTCAGTCAAAATATATTATAAACACACGATAATTTTTTTTTATATATTTATTTGTTCGTTCAAAATCCTTGGAAAATATGGTATTTTTCGTTCTCATTCCAAAACCATGAAATGTTATTATCAAATCAAAATATAAATATATGCTTTCCAGATCATTTTATGCCTCGTCATATATATATATATATTCTCTAGTAGCTAGGTTAAATCAATTTTCTCATCATGAATATATGTCATATAAAGGCTTTGTCGTGATTGATTATTGATACATGTGGTTTTAAATCATTACAATGGTAGGTAAGTGAAATCTAATCTCAGTTTGTCGGATATGAAATTGCCAAATTGGTTGCTATCACCAGCTGCGTAGGGCACAGATACTAAATGCGGCATTTGTATTTCAAACTGTTCCATGCAATAGCATATGCTGGGCTCCCATTTATTATGGAAACGGTTAACTGTATTTAACTATTTTTAACGATAGAAAATATGTAAATAATTTACGAAGAAAAATATATGGGTTAATCTACTTTATAAACATTCTGTCAGCCAAAAACATCTATTGATATATCATCACAGTTTTTTTTTTTTTTTTTTTTTTTTTTTTTTTTTGTAGGGTTGTTAAAGACAGAGACGGTTTTATAGTTGTGGCATGACTATAGACGATTGATTATGCTACTGAGATCATTACCGTTGTAGCCAAATCGCCATCTAAAATCTATATCAAACACATTGGTGTAAAAGTTCTTGAATAGGGTCCATCCTACAATATAATCACATTATCAGCCGTCTAAGAACTATCAGCCCCATCGAAAATGCGATTTTGGAGGAATCAAACTGCATTTAACTTCATTCTTTATTCTCCAACGTTATCGTTAATTATGATTATTCTATATATAAAGATAGTCAAATATTGAAAGAAATGGTAACGTCATATTTACAAATATTAAACGCAATACGTAGAGGAAACAATTGGAATAGAATCATATGCCACGGCATGGTCTGGTCAATTATCTTGATAATGATAACTCTCTTTTGCTCTACTCAATTAAGAGTTTAATTTTAATTATTTTTAATTACTTCAGATACTGAAATGATTGCAACTATTTGGGTATAATTAAATGCTTGTAACTATTAGAGTAGAATTTATGCCATATATGACTTATAAATACTTGTAACCATCAGTTGTTTTTAAAAAAGAAAAATACTATATTGTTATACCAAAGCTTTGCTTTTTGTTTGAAAATTACTCATGGATTTCTCATACTATATTTCTCTCTCTCTCTTTCCATCAACTAAAATAACTTAAAATGCATATATAAATAGAAACATGCTGGCTATCTCTTACCACATTCACACTATCCACAAAAGAGCGTAAGAAGCTTTATTTTCTTTGCTTTCCCTTAATACTTGCAAACTTCTTCCAAGTCCAAAAAAAACATATCTCGTAATTATATCACTTGTTTCTAATCAAACCATGATAAGTTGGGGAGATGTTTACAAGGTAGTCGAAGCAATGGTTCCACTTTACGTAGCCTTAATCTTAGGCTATGGTTCCGTGAAATGGTGGAACATCTTCACTCGTGACCAGTGCGATGCCATAAACAAGCTCGTTTGCTATTTCACCCTACCCCTCTTCACCATCGAGTTCACGGCTCATATCGACCCATTCAACATGAATTACCGGTTCATTGCGGCTGATGTCATTTCCAAGGTCATCATAGTCACGGTCTTAGCGGTCTGGGCCAAATATAGCAACAAAGGAAGCTATTGTTGGTCCATCACTAGCTTTTCTCTATGCACTCTTACTAACTCTCTTGTCGTGGGTGTGCCATTGGCTAAGGCAATGTACGGACAACAGGCTGTTGATCTCGTGGTTCAAACCTCGGTGTTTCAAGCCATCGTGTGGCTCACACTTTTGTTGTTTGTCTTAGAGTTTAGAAAAGCCGGATTTAGTAGTAATAGTGTAGAAGATAACATCAATATCGAAAGTGGGAGAAAAGAAACTGTGGTCGTGGGAGAGGAGAAGTCGTTCGCTAAGGTCATGTCCCTTGTGTGGTTAAAGCTCGCAACCAATCCGAATTGCTATTCTTGTATCCTTGGGATCGCATGGGCTTTTATCTCTAACAGGTAAAATATTTTAGGTTTAGGGTTTTGATTGTTATTTTTCGATGCTATGATATTGGACATGATATATTTGGCAAAGACTTGAAATATATTTACATAATCGATGGAAATAGGTGGCATTTTGAGATGCCGGGTATTATGGAGGGATCGATTCTTATATTGTCAAAAGCAGGAACAGGAACTGCCATGTTCAGTATGGGTACGTTTACTTCTTTTGTTTCATGAATACATCTATCTATGTAAATAGAATCCATATTGAGAATTTGAGAATACATGTACGCAGGGATATTCATGGCACTTCAAGAGAAGTTGATAGTATGTGGAACAAGCTTGACTGTGCTTGGGATGGTCTTGAAGTTTATTGCCGGACCCGCCGCCATGGCCATCGGTTCTTTTGCCGTTGGTCTCCACGGTGATGTCCTTCGCGTCGCTATCATTCAGGTCATTGTCCTTTTCTTTATGTAATTCTGTTTGATACAGCTTTGATTTTATGTTCATATAATTTTTTTCCAAACGATACAAACTTATAATGACTAATTATTTATGAAATTACAGGCTGCTTTGCCACAGTCAATCACTTCGTTCATTTTTGCTAAGGAATATGGTTTACATGCAGATGTCCTAAGCACAGCGTAAGTTCAACTTTAGAAAAACAAAAATAAGTATAATTTGTTTTTTGGAAATCTCTGCTTGTTATGTATAATTAAATTATAATTGTGATATGTGTAGAGTGATATTCGGGATGTTGGTCTCTCTACCGGTGCTCGTCGCCTACTACGCAGCTCTGGAGTTCATTCACTGATTAAAAGTTGATCTCTCTCTTAATTACCTTTGAGGCTTTGATAATGATCATCTTTCACAACTCTTCTTCCTTTTTGCCCATCTCTTTTACACGCTCAGAGAAAAAGTTAATTATATGTTCTCTTTTCCCCAAGGGGATTTTTGAAGTGTATACGAGTTATGGAAAACCATTAATCGAAATTGTTGCTTAAAACATTTATGATGTGTATGTTTGTTCTGTCTTTTTGTCGGAACCAAAAAGTGTATACAGTATTACACAATCTTAATTATGCTGATAAACTTATTAGCATTAGATAACTTAATCCAATTTTTCATGATTTGAATTTTGAACCCATACATACATCAGAAGAATATATAAATAATGGAATTTGTTGTTGGAATTCATAGTGGCCAAATGGTATAAACGTGTAGTGTGAACCAATAAGAATCTCTGACGCCTTCTTCTTTACCGTCCGTTTTTGGCGGGTAGATAAAACGGTTAAATTAAATCGCCAGGGGTAATTTAGTCATTTACGGGCCGTTTTTTTCTTTCTTTTTCCTTTTACTCGAATCTCTCTAATTTTTCTGCTCTCTTTATTTTTTTTTGTGTGGAGGAGACAGGAACGCTTTACTCTCTCGCTATCTCTCTCTCTCTCTCTACACTCTCTCTCTGTAGACTATTCTCTATATGTCTTCCTCCATCGCTATTTCCTCAAAACTCTCCACAGTCGGAGGAAGACGATTCGCGGGAGGAGAAGCGATGGGATTTACCGTCGGCGGAAAATCTCTAGAGTGAGAATCATGGTTTCTCTTCTGCTTATCATCACCGACGCAGGCATTCCTCTTTCTTCATTACCATGGATTTTGATTCCAGAGTTCCCATTTCACGAGAGGGAACTTCTCTTTCTCCGTTGCTAAACCAAAGTACGCCCCTTTACTCTCTCTCGCATTTTCTGATTCAATCTTAAAACTGATTTGGTGATCTCGAATTTTCTGTGTTGGGATTGTGAATATAGATGCAATGTGGCAAATGAATTTGGGGTCAGATGGTGATGGGTCGTACCCGGAGCGGCCGGGTGAGCCGGATTGTTCATATTACATTCGGACTGGGCTCTGTAGATTTGGCTTCACTTGCCGATTCAATCATCCTCACGATCGCAAACTGGTGACTCTTTGTTTCATGTTGGCTCAAAGTTTGTAGCTTTATGGGGTTAAGTGATGGAAAATAATCAATCTTCATGTCCAATGTCTCTAGGTTATAGCAACAGCAAGGATTAAAGGAGAATACCCTGAAAGAATTGGTCAGCCTGATTGCGAGGTAACCATGTTTCGAATTATGCTTCTTGTTATCACATTGTCCTTCTCGCTTATTGAGTTTTTGACTAGTTTTCTTCTTTTTTGATGTTGTGTGCAGTTTTATCTTAAGACAGGAACCTGCAAATTTGGAGTGACATGCAAGTTTCATCATCCTAGAAACGAATCTGGGATTGCTGAAAGAGCATCACTTAATGTCTTAGGCTATCCTCTACGTCCGGTATATACTCTCTTGTTTCATCACTACATTTTTTTATAAATTTCGTTTTTTGACATGGTTCTGTTTGCAGAACAAAGATGATTGCTCTTACTTTGTGAGAACTGGACACTGTAAATTTGGGGGAACTTGTAGATTCAACCACCCTCAGACTCAGACTCAGAGTCAATCAACCAACCTGATGGTTTCTCTTGGAGGCTCTCCGGTTTACTCTGCTCTTCAGTCTCCAACTGCTCAACAACAGTCTTATTCTTGGCCGAGAGTCGCAAACCCTCCTCGTTGGCAAGATCCTTCTAGTTTCGCCTCTTTAATGCTACCCCAAGGTGGTCTTGTACCTGTACCAGGATGGAACGCTTACACCGTAAGTCTTTTCCACTATTTATCCATTGAACTATCAAACTTTATAAGATTTGGTTTTGATTTTGTTTTTCTTTTTTCAGGGTCATTCACCTTCTGGAAATGACCTGAATTACAGAAACCAACAGCATATTGATGCACAAGAGTCTTCAGGCTCTCAAGGAGGTCTCTTCTCGTCCGGTCTTCATTCAGGATACTATGCATTGCCGAGAGAGAATGTGTTCCCGGAAAGACCAGGCCAACCGGAATGCGAGTTCTACATGAAGACAGGAGACTGCAAATTTGGAACAGTCTGCAAGTTTCATCATCCTAGAGACAGACAAACCCCTGATCCTGACTGTGTCTTAAGCCCCGATGGACTCCCGTTACGCCCGGTAAGCTAACAAATTTTGAGGTTCTCTTATAGCATTAGTATGTTCTGCGGTTGTCCTTGTCTCGGTTATGAACTAAATTTGTTCTTGATTTTTTTTAGGGAGAACCACTGTGTGTGTTTTATTCGCGGTATGGGATCTGCAAGTTTGGTCCAAGCTGTAAATTTGATCACCCGATGAGAGTCTTCACTTACAACAACAATGCTTCTCCTTCTCCTTCTTCTTCATCTCTGCATCAAGAGACTGCTACCATCACCACACAGCTCAGGAATATCCTAATCTCTTCTTCTGTGGAAGCAACACCCACGACACTCCCTTCTGTCTCTGAAACAACCTCTGATAAAGACTCCATTGTTGATGCACCACAACACTGAAAGCTCGTCTGGAAGAAGAATCTTTTAACATTTGTTTTTCATTTCTTGTATTTTGGGTACTGTTTTATCTCTCAAGCAGTTTATGTACAGAGGTGATATTTGATCTAGTCTCATTCGCCTTGCGTTTTAATTTTCTATTGGGAAATCAGTTGAAATTGAATCCAAGAGTAAAGGGGGAAACACAACGTTTTGATCTTCAGCTTGAGTTTTGGGAATAATTAAACCGTTCAACGGTTGATTGCGCGGCAAAAAAAACAGAGGGACAAATAAATAAAAATGGACTAAATGGGCCTAAATAGAAGCTTACAAGCCCAAATGATAAAAACCAGAGTAAAACAAGGAAAGAGAGAGAGAGAGAGAATTAGCCAGTCGCATGTGTAGCGCGCGTTGAGGAGACGCACATGACAAGTATCAATTCCGGTTATTGGGGGTTTTAGGCCACGTGGGTGGTACACATGGCAGATATCTTTTAACAAAAGCGAAACACCTGTCCCTTTCTTTTGTCCGCCATTATCTGTTAAAAATCCTAAATTCCAATTCCGAGATCGAAAACAAGCTGCTCAGTTTCTAAATCTCGCGAAGAACAGTCTGAAATTCTGAAAACAATGGTGCAAGATCACGACGAGACGGAGAAGAAATCCTACGCCGAAGTTGCCGCTGTCGACGGCGATGGAAATGATGCTGGAGAAATCGTAAACGGAGGGACGACGATGAATGGTCGTCGCAAAACACAAGACCCCGTGGAGGCTAAGGTGGAGGATGATGATTCGGAGAGTCTCTACTCCTTGATTTGCCTCACGATCGGTTCGATCCTGTTCCCAGATTCGAAATCCGGCGATGCCTCGTCTTCTTTGCTTCAACGGATAAGAAACTCCGTCGCTGAAAATGGCCCCAAGCTTCGAGACGCTTCGAGAAAAACTTCAAGCGAGATTCTCCTCTGGACTCGTAGAGGCAGCCCGCTTCGTGCTCTGCTTGTCATCAGTGTAAGTGAATTGATTGATCTGATTAAGAATCGAATAGATTTGATTCTTCTCTAGAAAATATCGAATTTGGTATCATTCTTTTCAATTTGCCTTCGATTCCTGAAGTGAAAGTTAACATCTTGTGCCGTAATTCGTCTTTGTTATGGAAAAAGTTTGGTACTTTATTGAAACCATTTGAGTGAGATTTTGTTTGTTTGTTGCAGATTGGAACAATAGTTCTTCTTACAACAATGGCTTTGGTTGTCTTCACGCTCTTCTTTGTAGCTGCGACGGTGAATGCAATCATAGTCTCTCTTCTGATTTCACTTGCTGTTGCTGGTGGCTGCTTGGCTCTCTTCTTTCTCTGCTTGACTGGTATTTACATCGGAGCCTTATCCATTGCTGCATTCGTCATCTCCACCGCTACAGTTTCAGCCGTCGTTTGTGTCCTAATTGCTTCAGGTGATAACAATACTCTGCTTTGTTTCTGTTTTGGAATCTTGAAATGAAATCAAAAGTTGCTTACTTGTGTATTGATTGAGTTTTAACTTTGGTATCGATCCAGGTTGGATTGGGTTTTTCTATGTTGTGTGGTTGGGAACAAGAGGAAGCCTGCGCTTGGCGAAGCAATCGGCGTCAGTGGTGGGATCAGCCATTTCAGGTAACACTTTCAGTCGTCAGCAACACCAAGACAAAGAGGTGAAGATTGAATCATCCAACTGAGAATCCTTCTCTACCGAGTTTGTAGATAAGATAAAACACAAGTTTTGGTCAAGTTTTGCTGTTTATGGAAGCTTGATATAAATGCCTATTTACTGTGAGTTTGTTGTGAAGAGAACCAGAAGAATATTTTAAAACACATCTTGAAACATTGTCTGCGTTTGGATCTATGTATTACATTTGTGTTTTTATGTACTTAAGAATGATCATCGATATACATAATGAAATATTCAGATCTCTTTCTCTACATTTCAGCTGCAAAAAACAGAAAAGAACAAGATAACTAGAAACCCTCTAACCCACCAAGAGGCTTTCGAAAAATCCAAACTTTCACCAGATTGTGGTGATCTTCCAATTATATAACATATGATCACACCATGATCAACCTCAGAAAAACTAAAACCCGGAAAAACAAAAACAAAAACTCATACATTGATCATCCACTTTATAGTGAAATCATCAATGGAACTTGAGAAGAAGAACCCCCAAAGTTTCTTCCTTTTTTTGTAGTGATTCACTTTTCTGCAAAAAATCAACACTCTTTGAGCAGCTTGGCTCTACGTACGTCTTCTTCTTTTCGCCTGAGAAGTTCAACGTCACAACGATATACTCCATACATTTCCGAGTATATAATATATATAGAGAGAGAAACCGATATATATATTTGAATCGAGATCGATCAAGAAAGTCATTTCTCATGCCAATCTGGTCTGCCTAAAGTGAACTCCAAACTTGGATTGTTACAATTACTAATATCTCCACACCTCTTTGCTTGATCGTTCGTCCTTTGTTCCTACGAGTTATAACTTTAATTAGACTTTTAAAAAATGGATCTAAGAGAAGCACTATCTAGTTATTATATATATATATATATATATATATGATTATATGAGAATTATTAGAACCTGATTTTGAAGGTTGGATCTTTGATGGTGAGAGATCATTGATGTTGATGAAGTTCTGATCATCGTATCTATGTCGCTTGAACAGTTATTGCTTAATGGCCATGTCTCTCTAATAAATGATTTAAGAAAAGAAAGAAGAAAAATTATACATCGTCTCCAATCAATTTTTTCTAGCTGAAAGATCAATTCTGCTAATCAAAGCAGGTAACAATTAATGCTAGTTAATTTCATTTCGAAAAAAGGACCTAGAAAACAAAGAAAAGGAGAATCACTCGACTCATTTTCCCTTTCCATCTATTCTGTTCAAATCATATACTATAGGATATTTTATTATTTTAATCAAGAACCTATTTGCATGTTATTGTATGATCACATGATCTACATGTCAGGATACATATAAAGATGGACCAAAATTCTTTTATTCTAGAAGAGCCTTAAGGACTTAAACCAAATAATAATTAAAATAACTCGGTACATATATCCATCAGCTGCAAACCCTAAATTTTAAACAATTTCAGCTCATCGTAACCAAAACTACCAGTTTAATAAAACTATTTTTTTTAGATTTTATTTTGATACTGTATATGGGATAAACCAATTAATTGTTTTATGAATTTGGTAGGAAGTAGGAAATATTAGGTGAGAGAACCCTAAACCCTACATTAAATTTCGTGTGTGTGTGTTTTTTTTCTTTCTTTCTGAAACTGTTAAATTACGTGTGTTATACTTGTGTACATGTATAATAAGATTGGAATACGTAAACGTACCGTGAAGAGTTACTCCAACGAGGTTGTGTGGAAGGAAAGTCAATTTCTTGATGAAGAGAAGTATCATCAGATTGTGCCCTTTGATCTGTCGATGATTGATGATGATCTTCGTTTCCATTTATTCCCATTTCTTCTTCTCCGGACCCATCTGAAAATTAACTTTTTATAAGTTTCATCTCAATTCTTCTTACCCTATAAGGGTTCTTGTTTCAAATCAAACAATTATTGTAAGCTTTTGGTAAAAGACAATGCAGTAAGGAAATTGCTTTTCTTGCAATGTTTTTCAGCTTTTGGCTTTGACTACAATACATGACTCAAAAAGATAATCTTAAGACTCGGACATTGTGCCAAATAATAATAATTTAAAACAAACGACGCATTTTTTTGTCTTTTAAGCGAAAATTTATGAACCTTGGTTTGGATATGATTCCCTATTTTATAATGTACACTTTTACATGTTTTCTTTCTTCGTTTTCTTAGAGGATACCACATATTGGGGATGAATGTTTGTTTGGTTTGCTTTGAACCTTGACCACGTAACTTTAGGGTTTTTCAATCAATAGAATGATAAAGCCTTGAGCTTGACCAATATATTAGGGTTTGTTTTTCAATTCTTTTTGGGAAAAGGGAATCGTGCGTAGTAATAGTGAAACTAAGTAGGCCAATTAAAAAAATAACTTACGTTAAAATATTTGTACGTATATACAAATATCAGGATATTCAAATTCTGACTGAAAACTACTTAATTAATTATAATCACTATAATCAATAAAGTTACTATATATACTGATTGGACCTCAAATTCTGATTATATTTTGTTGGCGAATCCTGAGCTAGTATAAGCTTTATTGTATATTGTTCTTATTATAAACCAGTGCCATCTCTTTAGCATATATAAAGCTGAAAAAAAGCTATACTAAAGAAATGTGAATATGATGATGCAGCAGGGCTAGATGCATATGTTTGTTAGTGTGTGTAAAGCCAGGTCGAATTGTTCCGAATAAAACGTACCTGATGAAGCAGCAGGCTTGTTAGTGGTCTTAACAGTTCGATACATCTGCAAAACAAAATAAAAGACATTAGAGCTCTAAACGAAAGAATAACACATATATAAATCTAATTAAGGATACAGAAAAACCAAACTAAAACGGACAAAAGATCCAAATAAACTAAATAAATTATATTCTCTATATTGTATTTATACAAATGACAAAATTGGAGACATATATGCAGACACATATTAACTTTATATAAATAAATAAATAATATATACACATATTGTGTGGTTTTCTGGGTTTGTCTTGGAACTAGTGTTGTACATTTAATTATTTATTTATCATTTTAAGACCACGAGGTTGATGTCTGAAAGAAGGTTGAGTAATTGAAAGATTGTATTATTATCATTGAGTAATGATGACTACTTTTGTCCCCTCTTCCTAATTTATTAAAAAAAAAAAACTAAACTCAAAAAGAATTCTATCATCTCAAATGTCTCAATTGTTTAATAATTCTCTGAAAAGTTTCAGTCTCTTAAAGCTATAACTACTCTATCTATTCTCTCTTTAAATTCATTCAACTGCTTCAATTTTCTTGGCAATTGTGCCATCTCTTTACGAAAAATGACTAAACTTAAAGCAAAGACAAAACAAGAAAATAGAAATAAAACATTAGAATCGGAGCAAAAGCTCTAAAAACTTTAAAACTATTCGTTTCTTTGGTGATATATATGTAAACAGAAATATTGTTTCTTGATTCAATTGTTTTTGTGCAACGCAAAGGAGAATAGTGAGAGCTATGATGGTGATGAAAACTATGAAATATCCCTAATTAGAAAACTTTGATTGGTAAAGAACTACATTGACTAGACTCATAAGAGGGGAAAGGAACCAATAAGCGATGAGAGACAAACCAAAATTAAAAAGTAAAGTTATTCTTTCATGTGTATAAACACACACAAAAAATTGTTTAATTTAAATTTCAAGTAGAGTGTAGATTGTACCTGCAAATGGCTCTTTACATGAGCTAAAGTTAAGTCTTTTACATCCATGAGCTCAAGAACCGACTTTGGAGTTGCTCCTAGATTCACAACAACAAGAACAAGAAAAGATCCAAACACTTTGAGAAGAAAATTCAAGAAACAAACAAAGATTCTTTAGAATGTGATTATGATATAAAAAATGCGTGTATATATAAAATATGTACTTTCATGGCCGCCTAGAAGCTCAACAGCGTGAACAAACCGCGCGTGGAGGCTACTCGTCCAACGCATCCTCGGAGCTCTCATGCTTCGCTTCGTCGGCATCTTAGGCAAGAATCTTGATCTGATCATCCCGTGATGATGATGGTTCTGATGATGAGGAGAAGAAGAATCTGAAGGTCCAACGACTCCATAGTGATTATGATTATGATGTAGCTGATGATGCAAAGGAACACCCTTAAGCCTCGCGGAAGATTGTAATGATCGGTAAGCGTTGTTATAGCCGGAAGATGAGTTTAAGATGGAAATTTGATCCAAGTCTCCTCCTCCAAGAGAAGGCAAAGCAGAAGAAGGATTGGTTTGTTGGTGGAAAGGGAATGAACGGTTGTGATAGACGGGGATGCCTCTAATCGGACGGTGGAGATTATTAATCTCGGATTCATCGACCCTTTGATGAAGACTTCCACCATTGATGATAGGGTTGTAATGCTGCTGATGATGAGGAAGATTAAGGTTTCTTCGATCAGGACAATGAAAGATTCTTGTGGTTGGGTGATTGTGATGAGACAAAGAGAGTTCGAAGTTTGATGATCTGTTGATCAGATTGTTGTTGTCGGTTTGAGATGATCTTCGAGAAGATTCATTGTGATGATGATGATGAGTATCCGGGAGACTGATGTTAAGAGATAGATCAGGGAGAGTTGTAGTTGTGCTTGGTTTTGATTTCTCTAGAAAAACTCCTTCCATGGACATAACTAACCAAACCTTAAGAAACTTGTGATGCTATTGCTGCTGCAACTGATGATGATTGATGATGATGATGACTTTTCTTTTGTATTTTTCTTTTTCTCTTCAGGGTTTGCTTCAGAATTTAAAATGATTTTTTTCTCTCAATGAGAAAAAAAGAGGGATTCTTTGGGCAAAGAAGTCAAAAGGGTGTCTGAAAGATTAGATTTCTTTTCTCTCTTTCTGTCTCTATATCTCTAAAAGAAAGAAAGAAAGTGAGGGGGGAATGAAGTTAAAGAGAAGCTCTGAAGAGGAAGAAGGAGGAGAAGAGAGAGAAGTTGATTAATGATCTTCTTGAAGAAACAAACATGCTCAAAGTAAGACGCAGAGAGAGAGAGAGAAAGAAGGAGAAGAGAGAGAGAGAGAGGTATGTGTGTTGTGAAGCAAAGGTAGAAGAGAAAAAGGGAATAAACTAAATCCACAGGAAAATTAAAACAGGTAAGAGAGAGAGAGATATGTGTGCGTATGGACATGTATGTATGTGTGTATGTATGAGATGTTCCTCGAGAGTATATCTTGGAAAACGATAGTTGAGAGAGGGTACAATTGTAATTTGGTATATTCCAAATATTGTAAGCATTTCTTTTATTTACGGCTAGCTTGATAGTTCCAAATGATGTAATTTCAATTGGTTTTGTAAGTGACTATACTGAGACTTCAAAAGTTATAGGCCAAGAATAATTGAAAGACTAATACTTCTCCGTTTTTTCCTGTTTTGAAATGTTATATGTTTACTAATTTTATGCTTCACAAATTAGTTGTTTGTATTTCTTATCTACCACTACCATTGTTATATTTATAAATAAAAATTACATCAAAATTTAATGAAACGTAAAAACAAACACTTGTAATTTCAAATATTTGTTAATATGTGTAATTAAAACATAGTATAATCTGAAAAACCAAGGGCTACTGATGCAGTAGTAGATCACAAACTGGGACGGGGTTTTCTCTACAAAGAAATATATTACTAGAAACTTCTTTAAGATAACTTACAAGTATATGCTTAAACGAACTCAACAATCACAATCTATCCACGATCTGGTTGCTGTTCTAGTAACTCTCACGTTCTCAGATCTATCCACGATCTTTGAACCTCTCAAACCCTAGCCCCCATTGTCCTAGCTTTCTTACAAGAAATCTAAACCCAAATATGCTAAAGCTCTCAAGTTTGTGATAGCCGCTTACAAGCAGCCAAGGTCCTCTATTTATACTCAATAGACAAACCGCCAAACCCTACAAGGTTTGTGTCTTGGTGATTACTCCAAATCTCCAAGGGAATATTTCCTTTCCTTATTTTTCTCTAAGAATAGAAAATATTCTTTTGTCTTGATAGCCGCCTACAAGCAGCCAGAGCACCCTATCTATCCACAATAGGCGTGCCTAGAAACCCTACAAGGTTTCGGTCTTGATGATTGCTCCAAATCCTCAAGGGAATATTTCCTTTCCTTATTTTTCTCTAAGAATAGGAAATATTCCTTTTGTGTTGATATCTCCAACTCTCCTCATCCAGCTCAGCGACCGCCTCTTCTGGATTCGTCCTTATCCGCTACAAGCTCGCATCCAGCTCAGCAACATTCCTTTAGCTCCGTTAAGCTCCACTTAGCTCCGCTACAAGTCCGTCCATACGTCCTGATGCACTTCCTGACTGATTCACGATCTGCGTCAAACCAGTTGCATCTTCAATCTCCCCCTTTTTAGCTTTGTGTCTCTCAAGCACCTGTAAAACTCAAAACCACAGTGCATATACCAGAGATGACCAGAATACTGGGATGATCTGAATACTTCAACATTAGTCATAGAAATATTAAACATGATTCAGAACAAAGTTAAATCCAAAAGATCAAAGAACTTTCAACTCTCAACTCCCCCAGAATTCTAGATCGAAAACTACTCAAAACAATGCAAACAAGATCAAAAGTCTTGCTCCCCCACAATTCTAGCTTAGATCCTAGTTTTCGTTCTCTGATACATCATATTCTCCCCCTGCTTGTGAGCACACACAAGTTAAAAACACAAGATGGATAAACAGATTGAAATAGATTGTGCAGAAGGACAACTTACCTTGCAGATTGACGATGATCAGACCCTGAACTATGTCAGTGAAACTGCGAAGGGACCTGTTTCCTGAAGAACTCTCTTGTTCCTTAGCACGAGAGAAACATCTGCATCACTCTGTTCTTCAACACTCTGAGCATATTAAGTCTGAGTAAGAGCGGATGACAAAACCTCGCTGTATCAGATGGCGGATCAATCGATGGCTGCTTCTCGATTTGAGAAGACTACTTCGTTGTAGTTCGAAACGGTTGACCTAGTTGAAGTTCATCAAGAGACTCTGTTTCGCGAGCTTCGTCGAGAGGGTGAAACGGCTGGTTATGGATCTGACAGAGACATTGATGCGTCGTTCTGTTGTACATCCGGCTCTGCTGGTTCAGAAACACCATCGGCGGTCACTACCAGAGATGTAGTGGTCGCTACTTCAGTCGCTTCGTCAGGCGACGGCAGTGCTTGGAGATTGCTGGCTTGTAGATCTGACGGCTGTTTCAAAACACCATTTAATCGGAATCAACATAAATCAGCCGGATTAATTTGGTTTAGAGACCCAGAATCCCTGTTTGATTTCCTGCAACACTTAGCACCAATATCAGCAGTACAGCACAAGGACCCAAAATTGTGACAACCACATAAGATTCGATTCAAGATAGAATCCAAACAAGCAATACCATCCCATGTGTCACATCTTTTCAGCTTAAAAACATTTTTACTCAGTTTATCTCAAATTAAATACCTTTCATTTTAGTGAAGGAGACATTGACTGAGTCGGCACTTGCATCAGGATGTATTACAAATTCTCAACAGATTCATAGCGCTTGGCCATCCTGATTCCAACCTGCAGCTTTCACTTTGTCATACCCAGATCATATCACCACCTCTAATTCCAATGATGTGCAAAGTGAAACTCTTTATTTTGTTCAAGGCAGAACATGTGATCATTCTCTGTCGTTGGATGTTGTTCTTGTGAAACATTACCCTTCGAGAAAGCTCATGGACCAACTCAGCCTTGTGAGCTGTTGTTGTAGTCCATCCCCTTTCCTATTAAGCTCTTAGTTCTGTCGTCAGACTTTGTTCTTGTGAAACATTGTCTTTCGAGAAATCACATGAACCAACTTAGCCTTGTGAGCTATTGTTGTCAGTTCATCACATTTCCTGTTATGCTCATTGAATCACTTTTTGGTTCTTGAAGCAGCAAGCCATCTCCATCATATTGCATTCATTTGGAGTTGGCTCAGCTGCTTTTTGACCTTGAACATGCTTTTAGAATCACTTACTTTTCACTTTTCTTATGTTGAGGTGACATGACGGCATGACAAAGTAGCTGATCCTCATTGGCACCTTTGACTCCAAACAAAATCTGAACTTGTTATATACACCCCGAGCCAGTGCCTGTATCAGCCCCTGCATCATTCAAAACCACTTGTGCAAATTCCAATGGAATTTCTTAAGGTGACAAAACGGTTAAAGTCCAATGGTTTTGTGAATAAATCAGCGAGCTGTAAATCTGTGACAACATGTTCAAGTACTACCTGTTTTTCTTCCACCAATTCACGAACAAAGTGGTGTCTTATGTCAATGTGCTTAGTCCTTGAGTGCTGCACCGGATTCTTTGATATGTCAATGGCGCTTTTGTTGTCACAGTAGACCAAGAAGGGTCCAGACTCCATCCCATAATCGGCTGACATCTGTCTCATCCATATAAGCTGTGTGCAGCAGCTTCCCAATGCAATGTACTCAGCCTCTGCAGTAGATAGTGACACAGAATTCTGCTTCTTGCTAAGCCAAGCAATAAGATTGTTCCCAAGGAAGAAACAACCTCCACTTGTGCTTTTCCGATCATCTGCACATCCTGCCCAATCGGCGTCACAATATCCAGCAAGATTTCTGTTGGATCCTTTGGAGTAAAAGATCCCCAGATTGACAGTTCCCTTGACATACCTCAAGATCTTCTTCACCGCTTGAAGATGGGACTGTTTTGGTTTGGCCTGATACGAGCACACACACCAACGCTGAAGCTTAAGTCAGGCCGACTTGCTGTAAGGTAAAGCAAGCTTCCAATCATTCCTCTGTATAGCTTCACATCAACATCTTCTCCTTGTTCATCCTTTCCAATTTGTCGTGGTGCTCATTGGTGTTCTTGCCTCCTTGCATTTGTCAAGACCAAACTTCACCAGTAGATTCTTGGCATAGGTGCTTTGAGAAATAAAGATTCCTTTCTCAGTCTGATTCACTTGAAGTCCAAGAAAGTACTTCAATTCTCCCACCATGCTCATCTTGAACTCCTTAGTCATACTCTTCACAAAGTTTTCCACCAGCTTCTCTGAAGTTCCTCCAAAGATGATATCATCTACATAGATCTGCACCATCATCATCTCATTCTTCCTTCTCAAGTGTGAACAGAGTTTTGTCCACAGTTCCTCTGACGTAGCCTGTGTCAATCAGAAACTTCGTCAATGCTCATACCAAGCTCTTGGAGCCTGTTTCAGTCCGTAGAGAGCTTTCTTGAGCTTATACACATATCAGGATGCGTAGGATCTTCAAATCCCTTCGGTTGGCTACATATACTTCCTCTTGTAGAATGCCATTCAAGAAAGCACTCTTCTTACATCCATCTGATACTTGAAGTTCAATATGCATGCCATCCCTAGAACAGTCTGATAGACTCAAGACGTGCTACAGGGGCAAAGGTTTCATCAAAGTCGACTCCTTCAACTTGTGAGTAACCTTGCGCAACAAGTCTTGACTTGTTTCGTACAATGCCAGCATCATCTGTCTTGTTCTTGAAGATCCACTTTGTACCGACCACATTCACACCATCAGGTAGTGGCACAGTTCCCATACATCGTTTCTCACGAACTCCTCTAGTTCCTCTTCCATGGAGATGATCCAATCTGCATCTTCCAGTGCTTCAAGGTGTTCGTGGCTCTATGGTTGACACAAAGCATTCAAATTGAATAATTGCCATGCTGACCATCTGCTTGTAAGTTCATCTTGATTCCTCTCGTCCTTTCGTGGCTCAGTGATGTCTCCAATCAGATCACTTCGATGAGTGATTTCTGTGAACTTGTGTCACTGGGTGTACGGCAACCACATCAGGACTGTGTCAGAGACTTCTCGTCATCCTCACCTTTTCTTCTTCTTCACGAACCTCCTCCTGCTTTCTGGATTGTCTTCTGCTTCAGCTGCCTGGGTTCTGGATCATATACAGTGGAGAGTCTCCCATGGCCGCAATTGATCGATCATCAAATACACATTGACCGACTCCATAATCATCTTGGACCGAAGATTGAAGACTCTGAAAGCTGAACTATTGCCTGAATAACCCAGAAATATGCCTTCATCACTCCTTGAGTCGAACTTTCCAAGTTGATCCTTGTCATTCAGAATATAACACCTGCATCCAAAGACACGAAAGTAACTTAAGTTAGGTGTTTTCCTTTCCACAACTCATAAGGTGTTTTGAGTAAAGCCTTTCTCATGTAGACACGGTTGATGATGTAGCATGCGGTGTTGATTGCTTCAGCCCAAAACTTCACAGGAATGTTTCCTCCATGGATCATTGCTCGCCATTTCCTTGAAGTGTTCTGTTCTTTCGCTCCACTACTCCATTCATCTGTGGTGTTCTAGGCGCTGAAAATTGGTGAGCTATGCCTTGTTCATTGCAGAACTTAGTCATGACCTCATTCTGAAATTCTCCCCCATGATCACTGCGTATGCGCTTGAGGCTTCCTTTCTCAGTGATGACTTGAAGAGCCCAAATCTTGAAACTCGCCATGGTGTCAGATTTGTCACGAATGAAGCGACCCAAGTGTATCGCGAGTAATCATCCACTAGAACAAAGACATAGCGTTTCCTGCAATGCTCTCCACTTGCATTGGTCCCATAAAATCCATGTGTACTAGTCCAAAACAGTCTTGGATTGTACATCTGCCACCTTCTTGTGCTGGACCTTGATTTGCTTTCCTTGATTGCAGGACCACACACGATTTTCTCACATCCCTTCAGTTTTGGAACACCACGAACAATCTCCTTATTCACCAGAGTGGTAAGATGTCGAACATTCATGTGACCCAATCGTTTGTGCCATAGTTCAACATCATCTCGGACACTTAGGCATTTTGCAGATTGATCCCACATGTAGCAGTTGTTGCCTGAACGAACTCCTCGTAGACTGTCTTTCCGTCAGATCAATGGCTTTGCACTCTAGCTTGTTGAACCAGACCGTTAAACCTTCATCACAAAGCTGGCTGACACTGATCAAATTTGACTTTAGACCTTGACGAGATAGACATTCATAAGCTGTGGTTGCTCATCAGAGGTTCGTCCTTTGCCTTGAATCAGTTCCTTTGGTTCCACATCCAAATGTCACCTTTCCTCCTTTTAACTGCTTCACATCCTGCAGATTTTCTTTCATGCCAGTCATATGTCTGGAACAACCGCTGTCGAAGTACCACGTTCCTGTGTTGTCCACCTCATTGCTTTCTTCAAATAGTGCCATATTGGAGCAGAATCGCTGTCTTGTACCACCTGGTGCTGTACGTCGAGCAGGATTCTGGTAAAGATCAGTCTTCTGATGAAGACTTGGTTCAGTCCATGATTCCAGTAGTAGCGTCCTTGTCTCCAGGCGTGATCAACTCTAGCACAAAACTTGTTGCAGAACGCCTTGATATGACCCACAACTCCACAAAAATAGCACTGTTTCCCTTGATGTCCTCTGTGGCGATGTGATGCTCTAGCATTACTGACTTTCTTAGCCTCATATCCTAATCCCATGGTGGTCTTTCCTCGATTTTCACTCCTTAGGATGGGATCAGGTTTATGTGCGGATGATCTAGTCTCTGCTTGAACAACATCTTGAGCTATTCCTCCAGACACGAAAGTGACTGTCTTGCCGGTTGATCCACTTCCTGTTGAGTATCCCAGACCAAGATTTGACTTCCCAACACGACCAAGACTCAGGATCTTGTCGAGTTCCTTAGTTCCAGTCAACATCTTCAGTTGCTTTCGATGTTGATCTAACTCAGCTTGTAGACTCCTGGAGTTCTCCTTCTCCAAAAAGTACTCTTTGGTGATGTCATCTGCTCGTTTAACCGCTTCCATCTTTTCCAACATGATATTGAGATTATCCATGTTGAGATCTTTTTCCGCTTGAAGTGCCTTCTGAAGTTCTCCAACCTTTTCTTCAAGACGAGCATTCTCCTTTTTCAATTCGAGATTCTCTTTCCCGGTTTCAACCAAAGCATCACGAACTTCTTTAAAGCTTTCGTAGATATCAATCTCAGATTCTTCATCACTGGACGAGTCTTCGGTATCTGATTCAGATGCTTTTCTTTCTTCCACAAAATCAGAAATTCCGGCAAGGGCTATGAAGTTACTGATTTCTTCATACCCATAGTTTCCTGCATCAGGTATCACTTTTGACCTTCCCATGAAGTCCGGGTGATAGCCCTCTATTCCGCAAGATCTCACCTGCTATAGCAATACACACAAGGTGACTGCTCTGATACCAATTGAAAAACCAAGGGCTACTGATGCAGTAGTAGATCACAAACTGGGACGGGGTTTTCTCTACAAAGAAATATATTACTAGAAACTTCTTTAAGATAACTTACAAGTATATGCTTAAACGAACTCAACAATCACAATCTATCCACGATCTGGTTGCTGTTCTAGTAACTCTCACGTTCTCAGATCTATCCACGATCTTTGAACCTCTCAAACCCTAGCCCCCATTGTCCTAGCTTTCTTACAAGAAATCTAAACCCAAATATGCTAAAGCTCTCAAGTTTGTGATAGCCGCTTACAAGCAGCCAAGGTCCTCTATTTATACTCAATAGACAAACCGCCAAACCCTACAAGGTTTGTGTCTTGGTGATTACTCCAAATCTCCAAGGGAATATTTCCTTTCCTTATTTTTCTCTAAGAATAGAAAATATTCCTTTTGTCTTGATAGCCGCCTACAAGCAGCCAGAGCACCCTATCTATCCACAATAGGCGTGCCTAGAAACCCTACAAGGTTTCGGTCTTGATGATTGCTCCAAATCCTCAAGGGAATATTTCCTTTCCTTATTTTTCTCTAAGAATAGGAAATATTCCTTTTGTGTTGATATCTCCAACTCTCCTCATCCAGCTCAGCGACCGCCTCTTCTGGATTCGTCCTTATCCGCTACAAGCTCGCATCCAGCTCAGCAACATTCCTTTAGCTCCGTTAAGCTCCACTTAGCTCCGCTACAAGTCCGTCCATACGTCCTGATGCACTTCCTGACTGATTCACGATCTGCGTCAAACCAGTTGCATCTTCATAATCATTTGAAATAGAGTGACTTGTATACCTTAACAATTAAAAATGGTAAATATTTTAAAATTACTATATATTATGCTCACAGATTATCATGAAGAATATTATTTTAAAATGCTGGAGAAGAGTACAAGAGGAGAGAGAATAAAGGGTTGCTCTCTTCTGTCCTATCTAATCTATAGTCAAAGCAAAAGCCAAAGTTAAAAATAAATAAAAAACAACAAGAAGAAAAAAACAAACCAACACAAAACATATAAAATAAAAGTATATATGTATAAAGAAAAATATAAAAATTGGGTGCTTTGATTTTGGTACCCCGGAGACGACGGGATACATATGTTGAGAGAGAGAAAGAGACTCTCCTCTCTGACTCCTTTTTTATTTTCTCCCCCACTCTCTTCGCTTCCCACTTCACTCTCTATTCACTTATTTATTTAATTTCTTATACGTTTTTGGAATCAAATAAATTCAAGTTTCGGACCGTAGATTGTTCAGCTATACCTAAAGAGATAAATATACATTAAATATCAGTACGTTCTTTAGTTTATGAATAGCTCGTGTAGACATTTAGTTCGTAGTGATGTAGACTAAAATCAACCGGCTAGACCGAATTGTGAAGTCTAGTTAGAGCCAAGTCAAAGTGATATGTCGCTTTAAGCACGTAAACTTTCTTTTTTATCTAGCTGATTATAGATTTGTTTGTTTGTTAAAGCTAGCAGATTTATAGATTATGAATAATTTTAGCACTATGTTTTTTACTCCATATCTTTGATTTGTTAAATTGATCTTATATGTGTCGAGTTAACTCTGTCAGATATTTAAAACGTTATACTATTTTATCAAAATTCGATAATTCTTCATGTAAGAATTTGTGTTATTCATCCCCACTTTTGTTTTGTTTGGAATATACCTTTGTGTTTTGCCTTCCGAAGGTAGAAAGAAAAGGATATTATCTTATTAAAGGTATATTATCTTTTCTCTTCATCAAGTGCATACAGACATGCATGATACACTCTACACATACACATTCTTGTGTACAATACAAGGCGGTCAGTATGTGTGTACATAAACCATGCATGTGTCTATAAGAATTAACATATAGCGAGGAAAATTTCCAGCCAGAGAGTAGATTTTGTCTGTTTCCCTGAGTAAATAAAATCAAGTAAACCCTAAAGAACTTAAAGATTTGCTTCTAATTCCCTTTTCATTCTCCCAAATATTCCTTCTCAATTTAATAAACTTTTTTATAGTAGTAGTATTTTTCTTTGAATTGTCTTCTAAGAAAAATCAGCTATTCTCTCTCCTCACATGACCATCAGTATAACATAATCTTTTCTTTCTTGACCATCTCGATAGATCATAAATGCATGAAATAACAATAATATTCCTTCTGTATCACAACTAATGATAAGTATCAAATTTTTTCATGCACAATTAAGAATTTTTGTTAGTAAATTATAGTAATTTCTAATGTAATTTAAAACAATTTAACCATTAAGAAAATAAAACTGCAGAATATAAATGACCATAAAAAATTATTAAAAAATAAGTTCTTGAAAAGTTAAAACATCACTTAAAATAAAAAACAATTTTTTGGCTATCTAGAACATTAATTAATAATTATTCTGATAAGAAGGAGTAGTAAATTATAAAAATATATATATATATCTCCAAATTCAAATAAATGAGATTTCATGTCGTTCATTTTTTTTATATACTCCCTCCGTTTCAAATTAGTTGTCGTTTTGGCAAAATGTATCTGTAAATATTTGGACATATCTAGACATGTTTTGCATTGCAGATACATCCAAATAATTGCAGATACATTTTCCAAAACGACAACTAATTTGAAACGGAGGGAATATAATTTAAAGTATGCTTGCAGTTTTTAGACGTTTTTCTGTGAGTTAATGAAGATGCTAACAATCAGCATGAAAGTACTTTAATTTATAACATAAACCCTATCTACATTTATGTTCCCTTTTTCTGAACGATGTCGATTTATAATGTTGAAATTGGATTTTAATACACTAAATTTAATTTATAAGTACTAATGCAGTTGGTAGAAAATCGAGTTCATTAATTCCTAATATTCCAAACCTAGCCATATCAATTTTCATTGTGACCTACAGTATTTGGATACATAGTAAAATTATTTTGCATGTATATTACATTTGTTATTATATTATTTATGATTAAGATCATTTTAAGCCGAAGCATAGACTAATAATTTTCGAAATTTGTACACCTGGATTTTTTCAGAGAAGGTTATTTTCGTCGAAAATGGCGTTGTTTAATAACACGAAGTCGATTATTTTCCTACCAAATGAATGCCCACGTGTCTTCGACTCATTAGTTGCTAAATTTGGAGATATAATTTGTGTAGGTCCATCATATTGCATGTATGTCTTTAAAAGTTTATAGCTTTTCCCATATGCTTTTTGCTACGTGCATATCATTTTAATTTAATGGTTTTGACTATTGTCAGTAGATTGGGATTTAACGAAAACTATAATAACTTTCAGTATTAGCATTCAATTTTATAATAACTATTGGAAATAGAAATGTGATGCATAAACCGGATACCATCCGTTTTTTTCTGATTGCAATTTCACCGAAAAAACATATCATGACTAATACTGTTGTGGAGTGGAATGGCGAGATAATTAAGGGGAAAGTAGCTTCAATCAATTAGCTAGTGCTTTAAGTTGTGGAATTGCTAAAAAAAATTAGATTGCAATTTACACACCCAAAAAAAAAACTACATCCGTTAACCCAGCTAGATCACATAATCACTCGATGTTGTATAGATTAATTTTCAGAGATAAGTATGTGAATT